ACCCCCACACACTGGCTGCAGTGGGAGAAAACTCACCAGTAAAGTAATGTAACATATGCCACAAACTGCGATCTCAGTGGGAGTCCTGATGATGCTTTAAGTGTATTTGTGAGGAAAGAGGGGCAAACAAGAAAGAGAGATTACTTCAGAGCAACCACAGCAGCGTATCTAGAGTCCCTGTGAAGGAACTGTAAACGGCACTGGGTAATTGCTTCACAAATAACAGAAGTTAAACTGTGGCAGGAAAACACAACACTTTTTTTTTCTTCTTTTTTTTCCCCCTTGCAAGACCACATGAAAGGGATTCCAGCATGCGAATGTTGAAAGCTGCAGATCAAGAAAAGCCTCTTTGAATCTCATTCAGAAAAATGTCTCCAGATGAAAATAATAGGGAGAGAAAAAATAGACTGTTGGCCCACAGTGTCTTGTTTTCAATTAAAAGAAATGAAGATATCTTTGAGTGAAAATGCTCCACGGATGTTGTTGTGGAGGAGGAGGGGCGTTATGGAGGTGGTTTGCAGGCCGAGATTTGCCAAGTGTTTGACAAGGAACAGAAGGATTCCAGTCAGGAGAGGAGAAGAGCGTTTACACCTTTTATGGTGACTGATGAAGACACGTTCTACAATTTGCTACCAAGAAAGGATGGGAAAGCTAGCCGTAATATATATTTATATGAAAGTAAATATGCTTTTCGTTTTGCCCAGCTATCAATCTTAAGTGGCACATGTTTCTTGTTTGTCCTCCGGATTCCTTTTCTCTGAAAAGGAATCTGCAGCATAGACATCTGCGTGTCTATGCTGCGTGCATAGACACGCAGCGTTACTTAAGACGTTACGGCAGACAAGGTTCTGAAGGTCCATTGCACCATCACCAAGGTGATATTGCTTGAGGTATAGACCAACAGCAAAAAAAAATAGATCTCAAAAAACCCCAATTATTTTCATATGAAACCTGTCGCTGCGCACCGCTAGTCACATGGATAAAATAAGCTAGATTCAATTCTCTATTTGGGCAAAACTTCAAGTTGTTTGTCATTTTCTTTTTGTCTTTGAATTTCTGTAAAACCCCCTGGATTAGGAATGTTGCTGCACACTGTGAATAACTTTGGCTTGCCTCGACGTAACAATGTTTTAAATACAGTTAATACAGTTAAAAGCACTTCTGTAAAGCATACTGCAGGCATGGATACATGGCTAGGATGTATCCTGTCCTTAGTAAAAAGTAGCAGTCTAGATGGACACAAATTCATGATGTGCTTTGATTAAACTAATTTATCTTTGGTGTAATTCCAGTCCCGAAAAATTTACTTTACAGCAGGTGGGTCTCTCTCACCTGAGAATGTGAATCAGTACTGGGCTGATTCTGCCTTCAAATAATTTTAACAACGCTCCTGTAGAAGATTCATAACTGATAAGTCTAAAACAGGAAGAGGCCTGTAGAAACAGTCTGTGTGCTACACTCAGGAGAGCGATTCAGTTGCATCAGAGTGATGTCATCACTGCTGATGTCATTGTTACCAGTGGAACTGAACATTGTGATGGTGCGTTCACATCAAACACGTTTTGAGCGTCAGGTGGTTCATATTCAAAGTCTATGTGGACTGTTGGATGCGCTAGATGTGTCACACGCTCCAAATGGTTCAAATCGCGCCTCCACATAGACTTTGAATGCAAACCAGATGCGCCCGACGATCAAAACGCATTTGGTGTGAACGCACCATTATGTGTCTGGTGTCACATTACGTCAGTGATTCTCAGCTCCAGTCCTCAGGCCCCTCCTGCTCTGCATGGATTAGCTGCGTCTCTATTTCAGAACAGCTGATCCAAATGATTGCATGACCTCTTCTGCAGAAGCCTGTTAATCACCCATATGGAAATATGGAAGATTCAATCCAGGCCTCTGTGTGGCAGAAGGGGAACACATAAAACGTGCAGGGCAGGGGTTCTGCCTGAGGAGGGGAATCGAGAAACACTGCATTGTTCCATCATAATAGGACCAAAGCCTGGTCCTAATATGATGGACTCATTAATTTGGGTCAGGGGTAACATTTGGAGGTAAGATCCAAATGAAGTGTTAGTTAATGTTAGGGTTAGGAATAGACTAGTATTGGTTGGGGTTAGGGAAAATGTGTGGGTTGGAAAAAATCGCAGCTACTAAAATGAAGGGAAATCAATGCAAAGTTCTAATGTGGGTCAAAATAGTTTTGACAAACCTGAACAGCATTTTGTTTTATAAATCATCCTATAAATAAACAGTGATGATATAATGGTAGGTTGTATTTCTGCCAATTGCGTAGCTGGAGTTCACTAGTAGTCTAATGTGTTGAATGTGCTCAGACACGTTCAACACATTAGAAACTTGTTTTTTGGTTCTGATTGGTTGTTTCTGGACAGTAGCAGAACCAGAGGTTTTGCTAATGCAGGTTAGCAAAACCTGCATTACCTGGGGTCTGAGCTAGGGCCCTAGGTAATGCAGGTTACCTAGGTCAGGTGTGTCTGACCTAGGGCCCTAGGTAAAGTAATTTACCTAGGTCAGGTGGTACTGACCTCAGTTATTCCACCCAGGTGTGGGTCGACGCAAAGGCCGAGCTGGGCACAGCTTGCCCTTCATACGAACGCCAACACGGAGGCCCTCCGTGCAACCAGTAGAGGTTGGTTGCATCGACGTCGGTCTTTCCTCGGACCTCAATGTTTGTGGAGAGGTCTGGGTTTGCGTGGACTCCTCTGTTTGCAACCTGTGTGTTAGTTGGTGCATAGGACGAGCCAGGCTGTGGATGGAGACTCCCGGATGATTCAAGGTCTGCCTTTCCTTGGTCTCCTGTGGGTCCAGAGGGGCCTTTGGTTGGCTGAAGACTCTGGGATGGTCATTTTCCAGAGCAAGTTTTAACTTACTCTTCAGGTCGGCAATCTGACCTTGTAGAGCCTTCACCATTTCCTCCTGTTCTATAAATTTGGTCGCTTGCTCAGCGTGTCTTTTTAGCTGCTCCTCATATTGCAGTCTGACTCTATACTCCTCAACCATTACCTCAATGAGGCCTTTATTGTGGGCGGCGCATTTTTCAGCCTGCCTCTTGTAGTGGTCCAGCTGTTGAAGGAGGTTCCTGTCAGCCGTAACTTTCGTAGAGCAAGAAGCCCTTGAGCCACCTGTCGTCTCTGCCACCTTCCTGTCATGATCTCGTTTGACTTGCTGGTGACGTTCTTTTTGTAACAATTCTTGCAGCCTTCGAATCTCCCTGCTGTGATTTCACTTCAGCCTGACACGCAATTCTGCGGTCTCGTTCTTCCTGGAGGTCAAAGGTCTTACTCTGCAATTGTTTCTTAAGATCGTCCACCTGCTTTGTCAGGTCATTGACGCGTTGGCTTGTCTTGTCCTCGACTTCCACCGAGGGGGTGATCTCGAAGCCAGCGGAGCGAGTTGCTTCCTGCTGGACTTCTGAAGATGTTGGATTGTCAAAGTGGCCGGAAGGACTTGAATCCCCCTGGATCTTTGATGGTACATCTTCCGGCTCAAAGGGGGTGTCGCTGTCACCCTCAAAAGGGAAAACGACAGCGTCGTAGTCGACTTCAATGTTGAGGTCCACTATGTCGACCCATGAAAGCTTCGATGGAAAAGCTTCATGCTTACATGCAAGCTGTTGCTGCTTCATGTCGATGTTCTTGCTCTGAAAGGCGATATCTAGAATCGATATGCTACTTTTTCAATGACTTTCGAACGTGCTTTGTAGAGTGATCTGCCACAATGGAACTGAGGAACAGGTCTGACAAAACGCTCTCTGTGAGCTACATTTAAGAGAGAGATTCCTTTGTGGTGTCAGAGAGTTATGACATCACTGATGATGTCATTGATACCGTTGGAAAAACATTATTTTCCTATGGGGAGTGGATGAGCAACCAGACCTAAAGTTCTGCCATCTGCTGGCCTCGCTTGGAAGTACACTTTTAAATAAAATTATTGCGACCCCATTCATCACCATCTGTTGAAAAAAGGCTGAAAAATTCTGCCGGTTTTCCGAGAATACTAAAATTAAGTTCTAAAATATATTTTGTTTTTCTCGACAGTAACAGTAATATTCTTTTGCACCAGTAAAGACAATCAGTTTTTTTATTTTTTATATTGATCATCTCATGGTGGCAAAAGCAGCAACAACAAGAAAAGCTAGTATGCGCTGGACTGAAGACGGAGAACATCAGGAATGTCAAAGTCAAATACACAAAAAAGACAAATTCTTATTTTAACTTTTGTAGATTGGTGAAAAACCGCAGGGATCTATTGACGTAACATAGAGTCTAGAGGGCCACATAAAAAGCCATGGGGGGGCAGATTTGGCCCCGCATCCTAAATTGTACTTTTTTCTGTTGTACATTTGACACATGTTGCATGAAAAACACAAATAAATCAGAGAATCTTTCACCGCCATCAGGCAGGAGTCAACTCCGTTGTTCAGGTTGAGCGTTTGCTGTTCGACTCTCTTGTTAAAAATATGTCTGAGATTTATGTGTTACAGCTTCTGGATTTATGTGCAGGTAAAAACACAATCCAGCTAAAACTAAAGAAAACATACTTTTGCCTTTCGTTAAGCTAATCAGATCTACTGTTGACAATCTACCTGATTTTTCTAACAAAAATTAGTGTAAAACAGTGTGTGTGTGTGCGTGTGTATACTGAGCAGTATGATTCAACCTATTTTTGTTCTATTCTACATTTTATGGACACAAGGAGGTTAAAACATCCAGGGCGGTAAACACAGTCGTACAGCTTCTAAGCATGTGAGCCTGGCCTGCCACTCCGGAATAGGTTCTGTGTGGACTTTATATTATTCCAGAGGGCCGACGCGGAGAAGGGTTAAAACCTGGAATGTTCACTATTTCCCCACAGGAAGAGGCTCGTGGAAGTCTCCTGGTGCCCCACGCCCAAAAATCTCCTCATCACACGCAAAGTTGGCTGCCTGCTTAAATACAACACTCCGAGTTTCGAAAGAAAACCACAAAGAAACCTTCAACTCCGCTTTTCTCTTGTGTTTTTTATTCAAGACATCCTTTCTTTAATACAGCTTTGTGGTATAAAAATTCACATTACAAAAATATTAAACGTTTTTTTTTCTTTGTTTCGTTTTCGGAACAAAACAGAGAAAAAACAACATCAAAAACAACCCCAAACAAATACAAAACAGAGCCGAAGGAGTCTGGTTCTGACGCCGCTTCGTTCCCGTTTCTATGTCGATATTCACACAGGTCTTTGCACAGCGCAGAGTCATAGTGGGCGTTTCTGCAGCACGCAAACAGGACACACTTTACAGCAATTTACAGCGCGTAGTGGCACAGTGAACTTTCTGAGGCAGTCTCAGTCATTTAGAAGCGAGTCTGGATATTTTGAGTTACTGGCTTCCTATATATTTATATTTCACAATGGAGTCAGGCAAGCACACTGCAGGTGTTGCGTCAGGTTTATGTGCACCTAGAGATTCGCCAATTAAGAGTTCTGTTGTCAATCTCCAATTTTGCACAGCTTGGTTCTAAAATAGACGAGTAAAAAACGGCTAAAATGTTCTTATGGTTAAAAGTTAGAATAGCAGCCTATATCTAGTAACATCAGTTTAAGTTGATTCTGCTTTGTCATTGGATCCAGCTGCTGTCAGAGATCATTCACTATTTTTAAATGAATGATCAGAGGCAAAGTCACACTGTGTGAGAGAGAGGGGAGGAAAACGGAGAAAACAACAGAGCTAACATGATAGTTGCTTTTGGCATCAGATCCTAGATATTGCGATGGTTTGTATGGTCAGAGAAGTTGGTATACTGCTTACAAAAAGTCCAGAAGTATCAACACCAAAAGAAGCCTAGAGCAGCTAGCATCTCTGCTAGTAAATACGGCTAACCTTTAGATATCTTCTCAAACCTTTGGTTCTTCTTCTGACTGGATGTTAAAACATTTCACCGATACCAAACATCGCTAGCTCCATCAACAGTGTCCCTGCTGAAGCTTATCCAAGGCTGACTGTGTAACCTGTTAGCCTTCTTTACAGTCAAATCCCTGACTTTTTGAGTTTCCAACTGGTCAGTCAGAGGTCAACGCATCTCTACCGACATCCCAATTATGTGATTTTACAACATAAGCTACTATAAGTATTATGTTTTTGGCATCGTTTCGCAGAAATTACCATAAGATTACAATGGTTAGCATGATTAGCATACTGGGAAAAACTCTCATATGTTCAAGTCTCACAGCTGGAGTCTCGCCTGAATGAGCAGCTAGCATCGCTCCATTGCAGACACAGCTAACCTTGGCTTCTTGAAACTATTAGTTCTTCTTCCGACTTGTTTTAAACCATTTCACTGATACTGAACACGACGAGCTTCGAATGACGTCCACATCAAAGATTTCCAAAGGCCAACATCTCCATGCTCACCACAGTATTTAGCCTTCGTTATGCTGCGTTCCCAGTTGGAAGGGACTAAAGTTTTGAGTTTCCAACTGGCCAGTAACTGGTCAGTCCGTGTCTACTGGCAACACATACATGCATGGCAACAGAGCCATAAGCGTTATACAACATCAATGATAAACAAGTGATCAAACTGCATCATTCATTCTCGTCTCCAGATGCTTTTATATGCTAAAAGCCACACTTTTAGGCGATGAATACTAAAATATATGACCTAACATTGAAGCACACACACACGCACAAACACACACTCTGACCTAAAACGTGAACACCCGTCTGGCACATATAAAACACTGTCATTTCATTAAACGGCTCAGTGGGGGCCCATCCATGCCAGCAGAATGAGGCCCACATCTAAAAACCCACCCACATCGTCACTGTATTTTCCACATAACTGTGACGTCTGAGGGAACACTGAACTACACACGGAGTGAAGCTTTCCAAAAAAGGTCGGTCAAGAGGCGGCGAACAATACTAGAGGAAAATAGTGCTTTAAAAGTCACGCTTGCGATGTCTTGTAATAAACTAAAACAATATCCTTCCTGAAATAGAGGAATTTGTTTTATTTTCATAAATTTTATTTTTTTATGCTGTTCAAATATAAGCCACACAGTGAGAAGCGGGGCTATGAATAGAGCTCCACTGCCGGAGAAATAAAACACAGAAAAGCCTTTCGTAGGTTTTTCTCGACTTCCGGACTTTTGTTCAGAAAAATAAAAAATAAAAAAAATAAGTTCTTTATAACAGAAGAGACGGTCAAAAACTCCTTGTGTAATAAAAAAACAAAAAAAACAAAGCAAAAACAAAAAGGTCGTCTCACCTCCCTACACATTCACATGTCTTGTGAGATTTGGGGAAAAACAAAAGAAGAAGAATAAAAAAGTTCTTCAGAAAGCAAAACTTTCTTTAACCGTTTTCTGTGGACGCACTTTCCAGAGTGTCCGCTTCATTCAGTAAGAACAAGTGGCTGCAAGAAAAATCATAATAACAATAACAACAACAACAACAAAAAGGCACAGTTCTGCTCATTTCTTGCTTTCAGTGGGTTTTCAGCCTGGTCTTTACACCATGGTGAGAGGGTTGCCCTGCTCCCTGGTGTCTGCTGGAGGAAGGCAATCTTTCTTCACCGGCATTTGGGTCACAGAGCAAAATCTTTGCGGCTGAAGCAAATCGGACACAAAGAAAACCTGCCAGGCAGAAGGAGAGGGAATTCTTTAAAGGTTTGCAAAATAAGGCTCACAGTCTCTAGCTAACTGTAGCTGCGTCTTGATACGACTTTACTGTTTGTTTCTAATTCTAACTGTTTTCTGTTATTTTTAACATTTTCATGTACAAATAATAATAATAAAAAAAAAACATGCAGTGCTGAAACAAACAAACCTAGTATAGAAATAACATTTGACCAAAACGTGTTGGCAGAAGCACAAGGTTATTATAACTTCATCTTTTTAGACATAAAGCATCAACAAAATCAAAGCAGCAGAATCTTCCCTGTATATTTTTCTAAAACGCGTCTCCAGGGAATTTCAGATGGGTCTGTAGACTAACTCATAAAAGAAAACGTAATCAAACCTCATTTTAACAAATTGTTTTTATACATTCGTTTTCATTTAGAGATTTTCTCTGCCGTTGTATTCGGGACAGCTTTAAAGAAGAGCGTGACGACTTACGATGCAGACGGCCACCAGGGCGCCCAGCAAGAACCCGGCCAGGACATCGGCGGGGTGGTGCTTGTGGTCGGATATCCGGGTCAGGCCAGTGAAGATGGATATCATGATGAGGGCGAACTGGGTCAACGGACGCAGCAGACGGGCTCCGCTCCAAGTTAAGCGAGACTGCAGGTAAAACTGTAGACCAAAGGAAGTCGGATTTAAAAACAGCAGCAACAACAACAAAAAAAGTTCTTCAAGAACAAAACGAGTAAAAGGACGAACGTCTAGAAACTCACCACTAGGTAGAGCATGGTGTACATGGAGAACGACGCGTGTCCAGAGAAGAATGACTTCCTGAGGAGAACGTTCGTCAGTTAGCATCGCAGCGTGTAACAAATATCCGAACCAACGGCATTTGCTTGTGGGTGACTGAGCCATGGGTTAGCACAGCATACCTAGCCTCTTCGACTTCTTTCTCTGCGCCTTGACACGTGTACTCCGTGATGTAGCCCAGGGAGCAGTCGATGGTGGAGAAGTTAGGCTTGCACACGTCGATGAAGTTTGGCCGCAGGCGGCCAATCGACGCCTTGGCGATGTTGGTGAAGGACAGAATGATGGCACAGCCGAAGATGAACACCCCGATCTGTTTGTAGAAAGCAGCAAAGTAGGGGTTCCCGACAAACGACTTGGATTCCTGGGTCAGAAAGAAGATCCTGAAGCTTTCACCTATTATGATCTGAGAGAAGAGAGGGGGAGCGGATGTTGGTGAAACAATGTTTTTGAAGTTATGTGCTATTGCAGAATGATGGATATTCAGTTCTTTGCCGTTTTGCCTCTTTGTTGTTTCGTAGTTTTGGAGATTTCCTACCAGACTCTTTTTGGCTTCAAAATGGAGAACATTTTAAACCAAATCTGCATTAACTCAGACCAGCTAGGCAGATATTTCAGACCTGCTTTGGCAACAATTTAAAGTCATTTTCTATGATCTGCTCAAAGGGTATTGTAAAGAAATGTGGACACATGATATGATTGGTACTAATTTGTCATTTATCATCAGATTGAACTAGCCTAAACATTAATTAGAACTAAAACTAATCACTGACTGGTAGCTGAGACAAGCCTTGGGGTCGCTCGAGTATCAATTATCTATTTTAATTTGTCAGCACTGTAAGGTCTTTGATAGATCAGAACAAAGTACTGAGCTTTCTACACATTAGGGCTGCCAATTTGCTCAACATCTTCACTGCCTTATGCTCTTCCTCTGAGAGTAAACAATGAAAGAACCCCCACTGAACATTGTCCATTGGAGGGAACAGAGGGGGACAATGGAGGGGAGATGAATATTCATGACTCAAATCAGTTGTCCAAACTCAAAAACGCCTTTCCTGCCCCCTAACCTCGTCTTCCTCTGTTGTCTTCAAACCGTTCACAATTGAAGCTGTGGAGGAGCGAGAGTCGGCTAGGGGGAGGGAGGACAGAAGGTACAGAACGACAAGAAGGGAGGATGGAACGGCAAAGAAGATATGCTAATACGATTGAAGGAACAATAAGTGTTGCAAGAAAGGGAGGAGAGGCAGAAAAGTGAGAAGAGGAATGAGGAGGAGTAGGGTTGGGGGGGGAGTCACTGCTGGTTTTAATCAAGGAAATGCTGAGCTTGGCGACGTGTCTGATTGGCGGTGGCCAGATTCCACCAGGCGCATGTTTGTTTTTCCCCTCGCGCAGGCGGTCTTTCTGAAAACCCGGACGTCTGGCTGTTTTCACGTTAGCATCTCGAATTCATCGCGCATTCTTCCGCGGGGGGGTGGAGGGACGGGGTTGGGGTGGGGAGGGCGAGCCTCGCTCTGGAACACACTGGAGATTTAACAAGCAGATAAAAAAGAAAAAGTGTTGTTTCCACCACACAGGCCTTTAGAGCCAGCTGCAGCTAGCCCAGCTGGAGGAAAGACAACACATCTGGTTCCTCTTGTGCAGAAGGTTTTCAACTGAGCGAACAGATGAATCGAGTTGCTTGGTAATGAGCGCGCAGCGCCTCGAGAAAGCGGCACCTTGAACTTCTCCCACATTTGGTCACACGACAACCACGAAATTTGTTGGATTTTATTAGGCGTTTACGTTTACTTGGGAGTCCAATTGTGTCTGATTTAATCTTTACAAATCCGGTCGTTCTGCAAAGGCCTAAAGAACAACAGCGGACAGGGAGATGACTGTGATGCTTAAAACAGAACCAGGTTATAAAAGACAAAATTTTAGCATGTCTGAGGTAAATCTGGAGGAGCGGCACAGATCCACAGAATATTTAGGAGACTCTGTTGACTGGACGACTATTATTTGCCCACTTCCTGTACGGATGAGTGGCTTTTCTTCCGAAGGGAAACTGAAGCTGGCGAGAGTTGACGGAGAGATGGTTTGAGAGAGAAGCCCATTTGGCGTCTGCAGCACGACGACGATGTGAAAATCTTACTGTAGCGGAGAAAAAAAAAAGAAAAAAGATTTGCTATTTGGATAAAGTTCCAAATGTAATTGTTTTCTTTCGCCCTGACAAAGGCCAGCATGAATTACAAAAAGGTCACGACCTCTTGGTTTCCCACCAGCTCTCCATCTCGGAGCAACGAAGCACTAAATACGTTTGTTTTTTCTTCTGCTTCATAAAACACAAATGCTGGCCGGAGCTCTCTAGGGGGGTGTTGGAGATGGATCCAAAATTCATGTATTGCTTGGGGAAAATGAAATACATGGCCTTTTTTTTTTTTTTTCCTTGTTTGGGGCCCTCACCACAATTCCACCCCAATAATTATGGCATTTAACCAAACAACCATTGCGTCAACCGTAATTACACAGCCTGCCGGCTCCTTCTCACCCCTGTGGCTTTAGGTCTGTGCAGTACTCTGCTGTTGAGGGGCGGTGGGAGGTGAAGGGCAGGGTACACAACACATGCACCCTCAACCGTGAGGCGACGCGGTTTCGCTCGGCCGAGGTGAAAACTGGACATATTATGTGAGGAATAACATTTAACTTTTAAAAACGGGCCTTCTGTTTTGGGGGGAGTGCTGCGGGAATCTGTTTGCACACAAACGACCCATCTGTGGTTGTGAATGTATTAGTCTGTGGCTCCTGAGGCGTTGGGGGTGTTTTGTAAGCACTAACTACACACTTGGGCAGGCTCCGTCTACTCGGCGCGGTCGCTGGCAAGTTCTTACAAAAGTCGCCGGAGTTTAATTTCGGTTTCCATGTAGCAGCTGAGTCCTAAAGTACGAGTTGTTGTGTTTAGATGGAAATAAAAATGTCTTGTAATTTTCCTCTTTATTGCGGTATCTGTCAAAAGCGGCCTGGTGAGAGACGCTCGAACAAAACTACACGAGTTCCAGCAGTAATGAGTTTAATCACCAGACTCTGGGTTGAGACGCTCGGCTTTCTCTCAGGAGAGTCCTCCAAACTTCACTTTACTGTGGAAGTCCTAATCACTTCAGTCATCTTGCGTCCTCTAGGGAGAACTCGGGAGAGAGTGTTGTCGGCTCGTTCTTATCTGGAATGCTCTGGAGGCAGCGGCTCTGGCTGGTGGCCCAGGTGTGGAGAAGAGTCGCATCAGTCATCGTTCAAGATAATCTTGGTTTGTTCCCCCAAAGTTGTTTGAAGTATTCATGTGATATTAGCAGCCCTCATGTATTAGTGTTCAAAACATTTGCACAAGTAGTAAGATGATATGTGTTTGTTCCTTTGGTTTAAACAGTGCTCGTTTGGAGTAAACCCTGAATCGCTGGATAGTTTCAGCAAGTGCTTCTATCCCTTCGCTGATTTTTTTGAAGATCAACATGTGTGTGTCTTACTTTAATGGCGTGTTCTCTCATCCTTCTCGTTTTTGAGGTCGGCCAAGGGAAGCCTATTCCCCTCATATTTATGTGTTGGAGTAACAATATCTCATTAAAAATATATTTGACACTTTAAAACCGAGAGAGAAGGAGAAAAATTGAAATGGTTTACAGTTTGTAAATTAGCGCCAATAATTGTGGAACCAGCAATCTGGTCAAATAAAAATAAATTTCTAATAAATTTCATGGATTACTTTATTTTCAATGTGATATGGTTCCATAATAAGAAATACTTTTTACTACGTTCCTATAAAAACTGAGGTTTGAGGCAAACATGAGCAGCTGTAGCCGATTGGACGTTTTGCACATGTTTAAATTGCTGTTGTAGACAGAAGACATGAAATGGCACCAACTGCAAACAGGAATGAATAATAATAATAATAATAAAAGATTAGCATGAGAATTCACATGGCTACCACAGGTGCTGCTAGTCCTTGTGAGCGGCGCTGAAACCCGATGAGTGAAGTTGACATTAGTGATGAGAGTGAGGTGACTTACAGAGACGATGCTGATTAGCATGCCTGCCGCGCTAAGCACAGTGTCGCTAACGATCTCTCTGCTTTTGGCCGGGTATCTGATGGATTCATCGTCGCAGTAAAACCCTCTACGGTACGGCTGAACAGCGGAGGTCTCAATGACCAAGAAAGGCAGGACAGCTAGCGTGTGGAGACGAGTGAGTGGCACAGAGAGGACGGAGAGGAGGTAGGGTAGGGATGGGAGTGGAAGGAAATGGAAGGAAATGGGGAGGAAATGGGAGAGAGAGATGGAGGTGCTAAGTTAATGACACGCAAATCAGAGGCTGTGGTGGCGAGCAGGGGATGACAAGAGAACATCTGGAGCTGGCGCAGTTCGTTGTGTGGCTGTTATCTGTGACCAACTAAGTAATGGCTGCTAATTGGCCAGTTATTTACTGAAGGCTTCGACTCGGGGTTGTGACTCGGTCTGTCAACTGAAGGTCGACGATGCTTTACCTGACAGCTGTGTTTGCTTTCTGTAAGGAATCATTCTGTTGAGCTGCATGTTTCTCAGAAACTCTCATTACCATTTTATGAGGGAAATTTGAAAAAGTGACCTGCAAATTTCAGCATGTGGTTTTGTCTCGGGTCTAGATTATTTGAAAGTCTGTCACTGTGATGATAATAAGCAGAAAGTTGTCCAAGTTGGGCTCAGAAATTGCCTCATAAGTATATAAATAAATAAAAAAATCAACCCTAATAGTATTGACAGGTTTGAATCAGTGGGAATCCATCAGCCTAGTGAAAACATTTAGTTAATCGCTTTAATTGCACATCTTACTTGTAGAAAATTAAACTACGAGGAGAAAATTCTGCGATTTAAGCCTGCCAGCTAGTTTCAGCTGTTTGAGACCCTTATAGCTACACAAATTTCTTTAAACCACAATTTGAGATTTATAAAAATGTTTCTTTTTTTGCTCATTCTAATGAAATAGCTAAAATTTCTGTGGTAAATTAGCTAAATTCTATAAAAGGAATTATCTAACCATAATAGACTCAACTACTACGATATTACACATGAGCTACAGCAGATTATTCCGCACTGATTAAACTCTTTGAAACACGTTTTGTTGGCTGTCAAACCTTCACTCTGTTGGTAAAAATGAAAATACATCGTCTCATTTCATAACTCTAATATAAGGATTCATCATCATTTTCCTCATTTTTGATCAAATTCTCTTCTTGTAGGACTGTAATTTGGAATGTTTTAGATCTAAAAATATTGTTAGGGAAAACGAGACTCTTTTCAATATTTCAATTTGGGACAGTTTGTATTTTTAGATATTTTTCTTTAGCCGATTTTGTTTGCGTTTGGTAAATTGAACGTACGCCAACGGCTGCCTGAAGGCCGGGATTTGAATCAAAGTCCGCAGTGGAAACTGGTGGACAAGTAATGTGCTGCATACATGATTTGCAGTCAATGGGACATAACCACCGCGTGTGACTCAGAGCGTGTGGAAGCCATCGAATCGGTGTGGGATGAGAAAAATCCAGCCACTGGCGAACTGAGCGCGCTCCAACACAGGCTTCCCCTCGTCCTCCTGCTTTCACCACAGCAGGACTTACAGAGAACACAGGCAGAGTGACGCCCATAGCTGAGACTATGGAGGTGGGCACCGAGCTGTTCTTAAAGGGAAGTCTGATGCTGTCGTCGTCACAGAAGAACCCTCTCCGGTGAGGCGGGAAGACAGACTTGTGCAAAAGCACGCCAACAAGAACCACTGCATGGTTAGACAGATACATGAGTGCAGGTGAGGCAGGTTTTTTTCACAACACATATATACATACTTTTAAGAGAACGCTCAACATAGCGGAGAACATACAAACCGCTTTCAGGAGTTCCGAGGACAGCATCTTCACAAGTTTAACTGAACACCAATGCAATTAAAATAAGAACATTTATTTTGTCCTCTTGTTCCCTTCACCTCAAGGAGAGCGCATTGAAAATGCTGAAGTACCGGTTTCCCCAAATCTCTGTGGAAGGAGGAGGTGGAAAAGCTTTTCCTTCAAACATAATATTGCGCAAATTGAAATGATGAAAATACATTTTTGATTATGGGAAACACTCCAGTTTCAAAAGAAATACATAAATAAATCTTGAGCTTGGACGAGATGGATTTTGGCCATATCGAAATGCATCTATAGTTAGTCATAGATTCATCAGCCAGCTGTTACTACAGGCAAAAACGAAGGACAGGATGATGATGCTTTCTCCAATGGTCTTACAATTTCCCCAAAATGTTGCGTACGTAGGTGCTCCCAAGTAGAAATCCATGCGTGGTTATAAATTTGAGAAACTGAGCTATTTTAACCCATGGCAGTTATCCTTCCAGTCTCTAACACCGAACTATGTCAAATTTTTGCTAAACCGGAAAAGAATCAAAAAAACCAAACACCTTGAGTGGCGCCATCTTTCCGGCCTCGGCTTTGAGGTAGACCTTAAAAGGGCCTTTTGAAGACGCCTTGCGTGTGTTTGTGTCTGATCGATTTAGTGTCTTTCACCGCTTCAAGTCGGAAGAAGATCTCTTCTTATCTGCTGACAACAAACAGACTGAGAGTAACTGAGCCAAGAGCCAATAAGGACGGCTTATTTCCTCGATCTCAAGAGGCAGCGATGGAGGACTTTGATATCCGGGGGTAACTGAGGTACCCGGGAGAGGCCTTCAAATCTCAAGACAGAATAGGGAAAATATGCTTTCACTTCACTTCAAAGTGACACTGGGCTTTCAAGTCGGCTGCGATCTGCAGATATAAAGAAAAACAAGCAGACTGCCGGTGTTGGGGAGGGTGGCAGGGGGAATTTCTTAGACTGAATGTCAACACATGCTTGACTTGCTGAGCCCCTCAACCTGATATACCCACCCAATTACACACACACACACACTCCCCCCGCCACACACACACACACACACACACACACACACACACACACACACACACACACACACGCACAGAGCTGCTAAGTTGTGGTTTTCAAGGTCCAGCTGGGCCGAGTTCAGGTTACAGAGAGTTCTGGCGCTCTGGGAAATCCAGAATGCCGCTCAGCCCTCCTCGTTCAGCAGGGTTCACGTTATTAACTTTCAGACGCTCTTCAAACAAATACCTATGCTGGAGCGACATTCCGCTCTGAAGCCGGACCGGTGGAAAAAGAAATCGGGCGGGACGTCTTAATGAGCCTGTAGCTGTCAAAACATACAGCGCTTTACAGTGCGCTCAAACCTGAATGTCAAATCTCCCACGGTTTGGTTTATCTGTCTCTGAAGAGAACAACACAGGAGGCTATCCAGACTGCTGATATGACAGAGAAAAGACCTCTGCAACCACAAGCCCAGAGGCGTTCGCAGGGCAGAGACTCAAAGAGAAGGAAGGTCTGGCAAACGCATTGATGAATTCACGACTCCGTGGCTTTTAAACGAACCTTAAAATGACCAAGTGCAGGAGACAACTTCTTGGAAACGAGGCAAAGGGAGAACAAATGACAAGAAACGGAAGGTCACAATCGAATCCCGGCTTCCAGGCGTTTGGCTGTTTCTGCTTCCCCCTCCTTACTCGGGTGCCATGACCCTTCGCATCCGCCTGACACTGCAGCATCAGCAGTGAGCGCGGCATCTTGGGATTTTCCCCCCTTTCCCTATTCAGTCGGGCCCGCATGAAACATCAGAGGGCGGTGGAGAGCGCCCGTCGCACCAAAGTCAACAGCCGTCAGCAGGTGTGGGCAAGTTTTCCTGCGTTAGGGCAACGTTAAAGACAACAGGAGTGAAAGGAAATGCTGAGAAGCTGGATTTAAACGGCAAAGAAAAAAAGTTCAGTTCTTCATATCAGCTGTTCTCTGACAAGTTTGGTTAGTTCAACCAGGAGTCCTACCGAGTCACGGGCCAACAACCAGTACAATGTACAAACGATGACAAATTCAGCAGTGTAGAAATATTTTTAATTTCAGAAAATGGGATGCAGTGACCTGACTACTTGTGGTTTACACAGATTTCCAATTTGTCTTGAGCTCAGACCCAATTCCCATTTTGACAGATTTAGACAACTACTTTGTAATATTAGCAGTAGTTTTAGAACCAAGTAAAAATAAATGAATTCATGAATCCAAACAATGGAAAATTTGGGGAGTTTTTTGTTGTCTTTGTTTAGATGCATTTAATGAGTAGGGAATTAAAAGATGGCAACTCGCTGTGAATTTTAAAGGTAACCGTTTAAAATTACAATTGGAAAGTTAGCATGTCTGTTACCCCAACTAATTAACAAGTAAATACAAGCTTGTATGAGTTGGATTCCTCTACAACCCCCATTCAGATGATTCTTTTGTTCAGAGATGTTATTGTGATGCTTTTGGCATCAACTAAAATGCCCTGATAAAACATGAGGATTTTGAAGAAGACCAACCAATAATTTATACGCTACAGTATAATCATTAACCCAGAGCCACTGTGAACTGAAACAATTTGCTTTGGCTTAAAAGAACTGGATGCATGAGTATTGTGATGCAAAGTTCAGCTGTCTTATGCAGATGAATGCTACGATCAGTAAGCCACGCCCCTTTGGTTCCGCAACTGCAGCTCCATGCTATTAAAGTCCTAAAAGCCTGACATCTCAGAAATACTCCATTACACCCCGCTATAGTTAATACTTCACATCTTAAGCACAAGCAGATGTCATTGTTGCTTTTCTGCTTTAAATAAAAGCAAGTTAATCATGTTAAACATTTATGTTTTCGTCTTCAGGTATGCTTTCTCTTGGCCCAAACCTCGTCTCAACATAAAACAATCAAACGTTGAGGGGTGTTGTTGGGTTCTTCAGCGCCTCGCCAGGTTCTTATGATATCTGTGGAAAATGCTCAACATGTGCTGGCGGCGTTCCGCAAAGCACCAAGATGTGACTGTAACAACAAACATTTTCCACTTGATTGCTTGCAGCCTGCGGTGGAGTGCGTGAACATGTCTGAGCCCTACACACACACACACGCGCGCGTACAAACGTATACATACACACAATGATGTGGCTGTTTTTGAACTTTCAGCTGTGCCTTCAAATAACCAGTTGAACCACAACTGAGTCTGAGGTAAATCTTCACTCATGTTTCCACGGCATATGGGGAAACAAGATGAGACAGACGAGTTTGATCGATAGAAATTACATAGATAGAAATGTCACCTGTTGGTAACATTTTTCTGACGTACAAGTTGGGCAAGTTTTGTTTGCTCAGGTGTACAATGAGAAACATTTTAATCTGCTGCATGGTGTGTTTCTTAAGTAACGGACCGGAGTTGTCTGGTTAAAACCAGATTCATAAGAGTTTAATGGTATGAGTATCTTTGCTTGCATGTTTGGCTTATTAGCCATCCACTTGAATGCCATTAGAGGATTAACTGGGAAACACTATATCCACTTTCTGCAGTCCAACGTAAACTGAAATGTTTCCTGTCAGATCCGAGTCAGGACGACGTTTTCCCGTCACAAAACTCTCATCTTTACTGAAACCAACGATCTACAAAGAGGAGGGGAGCCGTAAAACAACCAAATAGCGTCCTTGGAGGCAGGAGGAACTGCGCCGAGAGCGGGCCGAGGAGATTGCTAGTTGTGGCCCACAGTTTCCTACTTGCGGTCAGAGTCTTTAACCCGACATCTTTAGACAGAAACACACTGCTGGTTTGTTGACAAGTTTCTCTCTGTTGAGTTTATGGAACAAATGATGGGGATTTACCCTCCACAGAGATGAAAACTAGCCTGACTCTAAACATAGCACATGAAAAAAAAAAGAAAAGAAAAAGATTACTTTCTACAAGATTGTAAAACAGTCAGTGGACTTGCCAGAAAAATGGAACAGCATTATTTTTAGCATCAGGCTTCCAACTGTGGCTTCCCTCTGACATTTCAACACATGACGAACATATGGATACGTCAAGCATCAATTAGTATTAAGGACAAGGTAAATCATTTTAATTTCTAAAATGTTTCAGCATCAAAGCTAAATCTACCAGCAGCTGTTGTGAGATTTTTAACACCCACATTGGTCTGGTAAATAAGCACTTAAGCCAGACGCACAGCATATAGTTCAGCAGATGTTCACATCTAAAGCATTCCTGTTGCTGTGAGGAATTTGAGCCATTCTGGGGAGAAAAAAAAGGGAAAAAAAGTCAAAAACAGAGGTCCGTATGGTTACAGGTGTGGGTGAAGAGGGAAGAAATGCTGGAACAGTTCATTAGTGGGTTTCCTCTAAGCCAGCACATCATTTTCAGGGACCGAGGAGAAACAGAGCACAAAGAACTCAGGTAATATTTGGAAAAGACAAAAACAGTTTATTTTGCGGGTTAAACAATAGCTTCTGAGTCCGATTGGAATCGGACTCAGAGGTCACACCAATCATAACCTTTATCGGAGTTTACAACTGGAACTTAATATCAGCCATTACAATACATTAATGTCAATCAATCATTTTAAAGTAATACATGTGACGGTTGAATCACATGTATTTCCCATTATTTATATACCATCACTTGTAAACATGTTTTTTAAAATGCAATTATTCACAATAGTCAATTAAATCCCTGTTGTTGGAAAAGATTTTAAAGTTTCTCTTTACTTCTGAGGTTGAGAAAAGCAGAAAAAAAAAAAAAAACTCAGCCGAACAATTCACCAATATTTGACTCCATTACCCAGTCTGTCATATGACTTGTCAAATTATGTGCGCTTAATTATGCAGGTTTGACTAGGGGATATTAAGCTGTCATATTTCATTAGGCTCGACTGACCCAAATGGGAACCAGGACTGAAGTCAACTTCAATGAAGCCTGCCGCAATGTCTTCAATTAGATTAAATTGAATGAGATCTGGAACCACTCTAAGTTTGGAAACTGTAAACAGCAGCTGACAGGGACAGGGTTATATATATATATATATATATATATATATATATATATATATATATATATATATATATATATATATATATATATATATATATATATATATATATATTTTTTTTTATTTTATTTTATTATTTTTTTTTTTTTACGGTAGTTCTTAATATCAACGTAATATCTGTCATGTATACCTAGTAATATTAATTGAACTCCGCACTAGAACCGAACAGCATTCTGGGAATCTATCGGCCAGCGAAACAACGTTAGTCTCGTCAACCAACTCGGTCTTTGGTTACCTAGCAACAACCTGTTGAATAGCAGCTACGGTTTCAGGTTATTACCAACCTGCCGCAAAACTCCTTAAATATACAATATTTTATATATATAAAATATCTGGGGAGGAAATTGTGAAAAAAAACAAAAAAACCAAACCAAACAAACATAAAAAAACAAAAAAAGAAACAGGAAAAGTCATGTAACCCGTTTGGCAGCATTAAAATAAAACGTTAATTAATAATTACTGATATCACACGGTCACGTGACACTGTAGTAACATCACATATAAACATAAACGGCAGTCGAGGCGAGCCGTGCTTACCTATGAACAAGCAGAAGAGATCCACAGCGACTAGCAGCTTCCTCGGGCTGCGGTTGGGGCAGATGTTGCTGCCCAGTGAGCTCTTCGTGTCGGCTGCCATGATCTTCACACAGCGTTGCATTTAAAACCCTTTTATCTTCGCGCCTCTATTCGAACGGAGTGAGCCGCTTGTTGCTTTTCAAAGATCGTCTCTAGCCAGGCGGTTGGGGCTCGCGCGCTGGGTTCTCCTCTCACTGTTTTCTGCCCCGGACTTTCTTGCACTGCAGTTCGGCGCCTCCTTCTGTTCTCACCATCCTTTCTTCTCTTCCTTTTGGCTGTTTCAAGTTCTGACAGACTCCTAAACCACGCCCCCATTCCCAACTCTTCCTCCCGCCCCGTTTTTCCCCCAATTAATACCATGTGGATATTTTCCTCCCGACCTGCTTAAGAATGCAGGAGTCAACACAGCAGCATCCAGAGGGGATTTCACAGTCAGAAGATGGATTTCGCTTTCGTTTGTCTGGGTTCCAAAAGTGGAGGCGTCGATATTTGTTTAGGCTGATGACATTACTTTTTTTTTTTGTCTCCCACATTTGAATAAGTCATGAATGGGAATTTCCCCCCCAGCGCCCCTTTCTTAAATCCCCCTCAGTTAAATAGTTTCAAAATGAGTAGAAACGGAAGAGGTGCGATTCAGAAGAATCAACAGAATTTATTTTATGCAACATGGAAAAAAAAAAAAAAAAAAACTTTAAAAAAGAACAATCTCATAACCATCGTCGGAATGTCAAGCAACCGCAAACAACTGTTTATTTCTGCCCAAATCCAGTGCAATCACCAACTGTGTGCGTCAGCATCAACCTTTTTAGAGTGCATTTAAGGAAAAATAAAAGTGTTCAAACCATTGTGAAATTATAGTTCTGGTAAAGATAAATCAAATTGTTTTTCCCGATTGGTTCACACTTCAGCCTCCATCTTGATCAGAGGGCATCGGCATATAGGGGAGGAGGAGGAAGCAGCTCCATCTCTGTGAAGTCAATCTCCTTTTCGCTGTCACAAAAAATTAAAACAAAGAAAGATGCTTTAAGTACAGTTTGGGGGGATTTTTTAGGAGGAGAAAACAACAAAAAAACTAATCCTGAGTGCTTCAGTACTATAAACAATGATCAAAGAGATTCCAGTTTCTCCTTCTGATTAGACGGAAGCAACACTTACGGATAGGGAGGCTCCTCGACCGCACACAAGAAACCTAGATAAAGACAAGAGTGATACGCAAGTCACATCAACTTTGAACTGCTGGTCTGTGAAACACGCAGCACCCTCTCGTCTACCAAGATAAAACGCTCCCTGCCGAGCTGTTTTCCATCACACGTAAAAAAAAAAAAAAAAAAAACGTCTCCCAGTTGTGTTTAGACTGCAGAGGCCCCGAGGTGAGATGTGTGTGTGAGTGCCCTTGTTTTAGCTTCACCATTATCAGTGAGAGGGAGAGGAGTGACGTCAATGGAGAAACAATATTACACTGTCAACTCACTCGACGCGTCAGCACTTTGGACGAGACAAACAGGACAAGCAAAAAGTTATTAGCAGAATGAGGCGGGGACAGTGGGACGTGTTGGCAGAAAACTGTACTTGGTAGGAGTCGCTCCTCCGTCGCCGTCTCTGCCGTGTTGGACCAAGAGGGCTAGTTTCTGCAGAGCCTCGTGTCTGGTTCTGTAAAGCAGGGACATTTCTGAGTCACATTTTGCAGAGCGACAGGGCAGTGGTGGTTCTTGCCGTAATGGGGCCCTGGGCAAGTTCCTTCTCTCTCCAACCAATTGAAACTCAAGTAATTATGCAAGTTTCTAATCCCTCATTACTTACCAATAAAAATTGGGAGACTTACTTCACTGTAAATTTGTTCAAGGCACAGCAGACAAATAAGATAAAAATATTTTCTCTTGCTGGGTGTCCTGTTTCCCTTTCTAATGCCGCCCTGGGTAACAACCCATTTCAAGAACTGCCACTGCTACAGGAGTAGGAGAGATATTTGCACTCAATACAACTAATTAATTGGCTTACTGAGAACGAATCAATCATTTAAAATGATTGATTAGTCATTTACTGGAGACTCAAAACAGGCCATTTGCTTAAATAAAAATACTCTGATTAGTAAATAAGCCAAAACTGCACTTGTATTGTATTTATTTATTTATTGTGTAGTATAAGGTTTTAGCTCTGCTACACTGGTAGCCAAGTAACGACATTTCGTTGTCAAGATTCACCTTGTGTTTTTTTTGTACAATGACAATAAAGGAAGTCTAAGTCTAAGTCTAAGTCTAAGTAATGATGTTGGAGGGATTTTCATAGCTGCAGATGCATCCTCTGCTACAAATGATCAAACATTCACTGAACGGCCAACATGCTGCACTTTAGACAATATTGTATTATCTTATTTGAAAAAGGAACTGAATTACTTCTTTGCATCTCAATATATTTCTAGAATATTGTATAAAAATAAGTTTAAGGGGTTAAATAAAAAATGTGCCCATTTAAAAAAAAAAAATCAGATTAATCGTCAGAATAATTAATTACTAAGATAATCGATAGACTGTAGTCCTAAATACAATCAAATGTAGTGATCCTTAGGACTAATTTTATCCAGCAGGTGCAAATTTGTTTGTTCAAGTTAATGTTCTAGTGTTCAAATTACACAAAGAGTCGATACAATGAGTTAATCTTTCTTTTAGGAGACTTCTGGAACTCACCCTGACATATTGGACCAAATTCATGTTTTTTTGCCAATTGTTTTTCTTGATCTTACTTCAAAATTACGCACTACTTTTTAGTTTATCACATTAAAACACACTCAAGAGTTGCCTATGAATACGTCTAAACGTATTTTATTAGCTCATCAACACTAACCAACAATTGTTAATTCTTAAGTTGGCATAAAACTCCTTTCTCTGCTGTGACGACATGTGTTTGGGACTTACTGTGTGTGTTGGTCTTCCGGGTTGCTGTCACTGACTGTAAGCTGAGCATCCACATGAACGCAAGCTGACAAAGTGAGCACAAGAAGGACAGAGGTATGACGAGGAGCTGAGAGGAGTTAGCTTAGCCATGCAAAAACAGCAGGAGTGGTGGACACGAAGTAGCGAAACGACACGTTAAAAGGCATGTCGAGCCGGGTTTCCATCGACCATAAAACTGGAAGATTTGGACTAAAAAGAAATTTGCGAAATGAAAACACCAATTTTGAACAAACTCCCGTTTTTGGATAAAAACATTGTTGTGCGAAGATGAGGTGATTTTTTTCGACCATATCCAAGTTAGTGTATTTCACAAAACGACAATGGAAACACTTTTCTGCATCACATGAGTCACATGATCAACAACCAGATGTTACTACTAGAAGACAGAAAGCAGGAAGTGTGAGGAGGATGAGGGAACAAAGAGTGATTTTTAATTGTGGTCTTATTTAATAGAAAACACAAAAATTGCAAAAATGTGTGTGTATGTGGGGTTGGCGGGGGTTCTAGTGTCCCTTATATGACAGTAGGCTGATAGGAAAGGAGGCAAGACATGCGACAAATATCGTGGGGTGCGGGAATCGAACCTGCGGCAGCCACGTCGCGACTCAAGGCCTCCAAATGTGGATCGTGCAATCCCCTATGTCACCACAGCACGCCCAAATGTGGGGGTTTTTGACATTAGCGGAACATCAACAAAGTTTTGCGCATTGTACAGCGCAGTGAAAAGCATGTCACGGTCAGCTACATGTCCACACGCTACACCGACCAAACAGAGACGGCACTCTTCCCTTTAAAGCGGCACACTGGATTTTTGGTTGGGTTTTTCCCAGCACTTTCATACTTTATACTCACACATTTCTGGCTCCGAAACAGTCTGCTGAGCAAAGCTATGGCACAAAAACAAAGAGAGAGGAATAAACAATAAAACACTTTCAATCAGCTAGAATATTGCGTCATCAGGGCACTTTGAGCCCTAATGAGGACAATGATTGTCATACTGGCTTTCATAGGATTGTGAAAGAGTTTCGTCCTCACAGGCCCACTCCTCGCTGTCATCTGTGACTGTGGAAAAACAAACTGCTGTGATTAAGGCCAGCATGCTTGCTGATGAGAGACGTTCAGCAGCCTCACCCCCAGTAAGAAAACATAAAATAAAATAACACAGCTTTGAAGCAGATGGCGAACACGGCGACCGACGTGGTGCGTCGACTATCAACGAGCGCAAACATTTTCTGTACCGTTCAGCGCATTCTGACACAGTGACTGATTGAAATGTAAGCAACAGGCTGGAGGGCTGTGGATACTTACAGGACCTGGAAAAAGAAAAAGACGGGGGGCGGGGGAAGAGAGGGGAGGAATGTGTCAGGATTTATCATTGCATGCGTGGAGGTTTGACCTTATAAATCAAAATAAAGAAATCCACTTGTCTTTTTCAAGTACCGGCTCCCAATGCTGATGGTGTCCGGCTCGACGTAGGCTCCCCGTCCAGCTGCCTGAGCCTTCTTGCCGAGTTCCAGCATGTCCTTGATGTTTAACTCGACATTCATCACAGAGATATAACCGTCTACGACAGAGAGGGGACAACAGAGACCGAGAATAATGTTAAATTAAAAAAACTAAAAATAAAAGAATCACATGTTTAATCTTAGTTTTTTGTTCTAATTCAACCTACACTTGAGGTTGGCGTCCCTGGCCAGCCATTTGCCTTTGGGGCAGTTGGTAGTTCGGATGATGCTGACCGTGTCGCCATTCCTCACAGGCAGGTCGTTCTTGCGGACCTTGCTGGCCACCATGACCTTAGCGTGGTACATTGGCTCTTCCTCCCCGGTCACCTACGGAGTCAGCGAAGGAGGTCAATCGCTGATTTTTAAACGAGTCAGATAAAGCTCAGATTTGCCTGGACTGCACTGCTTACTTTGAACTTTTTTTTCATTTCGTTTTCCTTCTTCTCCCTTTCTTTTTGCTCTTTTCTCTCCTTTTCAAGTCGCTGCTTCTCCCTCTTCTTCTGTTCTTTGTGCTCAGCAGTGTAGGGGCTTGTGCACTGCCTGAAGAAAGATTAGTGTTCAACAAACTACAAACAAAATGGAGGGCAAGAGACGTACAGCGCAAAAACAAAACCATCTTTAGTAGGTATTTTTGATCCCGTTTCTGGTGCAAATAAATCAGTACACTTGAACTAGAACAAGTACCTTACAAGTAACTTTCCAGAAAGAAATGTGGACTTCTTTTAAGTCAATAATTCTTTAATATTGTTTAAAAAGTAATTGGTCCACTGGCAGAATACTTCACCTATAACAAGACGTCTTTCCAAAGTTATGAGATATAATGTGCTGTATGTGAAATGCCAATGGAACTATAACTTTCTCATTCATATTAAGAAATTATTGACTGAAACAAGCTCCTATATGTTACTGAAAACATATAGGAGTTTCAAGTGTACTAAGATATTTGCACAAGAAACTGGACCAAGAATTTGTGCTTTTGCATTGTTGTATAATCAGAACATTTTCCTGATCGTAGCACAAACCTGTCAAATATGATTATTATGTAATGGATAATTTTTTTTATTTCTGTTCTGGTGCAACACCTGCAGAGTGATCTCCACCGTATCAGCGAATAGGGTTGGGTGATATGGACTGAAAGTTTTGTCGGGGTATTTTATGATACCAAGTGATGACGATGAAAGTGAAAATAAGAATGATTTATTACTACTTTTTTAGGTGGTACATTGTCTTCGTGGCAGCATTTATAATCCCACAGAGACATCGTTATTGAAAAACATCCACTTGCAATGCGATTCCAGTCACGGAAAGTGGTGTGATCTGTAACGCTAACCTGCAAACAGTTCCAGCATTCAATCATATGTTCTATGTTTTGGTGCACTTATTGAACAGCTGGAAAAAATAGCAAAAGTAACCCCGACGATGACGAGAGTTTGAGTTTTTTAAAGACCATTGATTGGAATTTATGTCAGATACAAAAAAAAGAAGCAAATGGACAATGTGACTGTTTGGAAACACGTACCATGGATGCCGTGGTCGTTTGTGAAGACACGCTTCCCCCTTCTGGAAATGAGCACATGGTTTAGCATACGTCCCTTTTCTCGTGATCAGTGGGTTTCATACAACACCAAAAATAAAAGGAATGAGAAAATTATCTAAATGAAAATCTGACATGTTGCTTCTGCACATGTAGTGATTCTCTTTTAATCAGATACTAATGTTTGCCTATTTTCTTCTTTTCTCTAATTGGACAAAGTTATTTGTGTCCGATGTGACCATCAGCTGTCCAACAAATTTTCACAAGACATTTTACATATAGATGATATTTATTCAGTTGGATTTGTACATAGAAATAATTTACCCTGTACTTAAAACATGAAACACACTTACCCTTAACTGGCTGTCTGCATATGGATCTGGAGGAAATAAGAATGTTAAATAAAGATGGACCTTTACAACGATTCTCATTTAAACGAGAAAACAAATATCAAACTCTACTTCGTAATCTGCTTTTTTGCTTGGTTAACGTCGGGTTTGACAGTTGTTTGTTGATCTCAACATCTTCATAAATATTATCGCAGGTTTCGTAGTAGCAGCTCTGATGTTGTTCTCTAGAAAACAGAAACAATCCAGATTCAGGAGTAGAAATCTAACAGCTGAATAGACACATTAGCCAACTGTTGCCACCAAACCCACCTTGGTTGCGTTTGAGTCTTGTGGTTTGGTGTTGGCTGGTCCAAAAACTCAGTTTCCTCTGGGACAGTCAGTTGCTCAGTAGCCCCTACATCGATCTCATCGGTGCGAGAATTGAGAAAAGAATCTACCGCTGCGTCTTCGCTGTAGGACCGCCGCTCTGGCAGCTCTGGGAACTCCAACAGGTTTATTGGTTCGGGAAAGCTTGCTGGATCTAGGGGTATTATGTGTGAGGTGCCAAGATTTAGATCTTGGACTATATGGATGCTATTTGACTCTCTTGGTTCACAAACTGCCAAGGCAGAATCCGAACCCCCATAATCGGTGGCCTCCAATACGTTTGGTGTTACAGGATTGCCAACAACTATGTCTGAAGCTTGCATTTCTAATGCAGCAATGTCAACAGGTTCAGCCTCTGCTGCTTCCAACTCTGAAGTCTCAAAGTCTGGTACATCTGGAGCATCAAGGACAGACACTGCCTCCTTTTTGGGTGTTTGGCACCAACCTGGTAATGTTTCTACAAAAAGGAAACCAAAGGTAACTTTAGTGGAAAGACAACCCCTTTAATCTCTACTGAAGATTGAGCAAAAGCTGCTGTCTTACCTTTACCCTTAGCTAGGACTGCATGATAAGAGCTAAGATCAACTGTTGAAGGTCTAGGAGGCTTTACTGGAACTGGCCCAAGAGTCCACAACTCAGGTAGCAGCTTCTTTAAGGGACTCTGAGGTAAATAAGGTTCACTCGTCCTCACTGGTACTTGGCTGGCTTTGTCCAACATAAGGTGCTTATCGAAAGATGGCCCTTTGGCAGAAAGAAAGGAAACAATTGTCTTCAAAATGCCAAAAAATTACTTGAAAAGGTAATATTTGATGTGGGTAACCTACTGCGTGCAGAGCTGTTGGCTTTGCAGAAAGGCCGAGCAGAAAGACAGGCCAAGTGTGGAAGGCTTAAGGATGGAGGTACGAGTACATCTGAACCAAGACGGTCAAGATTCTTTGGAGACTTAGGGAAGGTCTTCTCTGTGCAGCTGTAGTCAAGTGAACGCAAACCTTTGGGTTTAGGCAGAATTGCAATCTGTCGACGTGAGAGTTTCTTCTTGGCCTTCTCCAAAGTGCTCAGGATCCTGTTGTCAGAGTCTGGACGCGTGTCTGGTGAAGGAGGGGAGACTATGAATTCAGGACTGGAGACGACGTACTCAGTGGTTGACTGGTCACTCTGAAGGGAAGGTCGTTCCTCTGAGCCTTGTTTGTCCATTGAAGAGAAATCACTGGGAGCGTTACAAGGTCTGCTGGGTAAATCGCCACTTGTGAGCTCCTCGCCATTATCAGCAAAGATTTTTGATGCTCTGATTGATTTGAAAGGAAGCAACAACCCCTTCTTTTTTATCTTAGTGTGTGAGAAGGCTTCTTTTCTGGTTTCTGCCTCCAGTTTTTGCTCCTTTCCAGTTGGTGCATCAACCTTATGGTCTTTCACAGGGGGCACAGGGAGCACCAAAGGCATGTACCAGTCTTTGAGGGGATGCTTTGCTGAGCCATCTCCACTTGCAAGCTGAGATGAGGGAGAGGTCTGCTTAGGGTTAGGGGGAAAGGAAATCGGGCGCTTGCCTCCAGGTGACCGAAGCCCATCTCTGAAGAAGACACGGGAAATTTCAGGGGTGCCGTCTGCCACAGCTGTGCCGATACAACTGACCGCAGAGCTGCTGTGTCCTTGAAGGAGTTTGGGTTTTTCAGCAACAGCTGGTCGACTGCTCTTTGAATAAGGCAGGAGACCCTCCTCCTGAAATTTAGCCCTAAGAGCTTTGAAGTTAATTGATCCTTCCTAAGTACAAAAAAATAATAAAATAAAATAATTTAACAAATGAAAAAAAATATTTGGGAAAGAAGGCAATTATTTTGAATTTACTTCAGTTTAGTCCATTTTTTAATGGATAAACTATTAACCATCTGGGTTGTAGCTTACTATCAAAAGGTCTTTTAAAATGTGAACGCATTTGTCTCTGTGAAAAATCAGTTTGCCAATAGCTGATTTAAAATCATAACAGAGTTATATTTTCCACAAAAATATTATTTCGTTAAAATCGCTTCAGCTGAAAATATAGCTATAAAATGAAATTCATGATTTAGCAGTTTAACCCCGTAAATGCCAGCATATTTCCATCTTTTGTATTGAAGAAAAACATACATAGATGTCAATGTCTGACAGAAACATTGACCGACATTCATTACAATTACTTTCTGCCATATTAAAATAAAATAAATACATAAATAAATCGGACTGAGATCCAATAGTTTCTTAAAATTTTTGTAAAACTATGTCATATTTTTATTATTAAGCCCCAAGATGCATTCCTGTTTTGTTTTTTTTTGTCCTTATTAAAATGTTTTGTTTATTTTAAACAAAAAAAAAAAAATGTCAGCATCTTAAAAGGTATTTTAAAATGAGGCCTTCAGCTACAGTGCCGTAGACTATTCTGTATATAATTACATTTTCATTATTTGAACCCTCTGAAGGCCAGAACTTTTCACAAAGCTACAATAGATTATAATACTGAACAACAATCTAGAAACAATCTAGAAGGACGCTGTAATCTCCATATCACAGAGCAGAACCTGCCGGTAACGATCCGGTTTTACCTCCTCCATTGTCGTAAGTTTTACTCATCACCGTCCCGCCGTGGAAAAGCGGCTTTTTCTGCCAAAACTCCTCGAAACGTCGACGCAGCAAACAGCTTCGAGGTGCTAAAACAAACCACTTCAAACAGCCGCCGCCGACACACCTGCGAGGAGCGCGCGCGTCCCGGTGCGTCGCCGAATGAGCCAATCAGAAGCGTCATAATGAAAGCGTCTTCTTCTTTTGTTTTTTTTTTTTTGTTTTAGCGGTTAGCAAAAACGCTAACCAAAAGCATCTGTTTCTTTCTTTCTTTTTTTTTTTTTTTTTTTTAATCGGCGTTCACTTAAACGGCAACATTACCTCTATGACGTAACATATTGTGTAAATGACAATACTGAGAATTAAACAAATTCTGATTAAATTTAGACAGAGAACTAAATATGGAGAAAAAAAATGTATCTTTGGTTGATCTTTTGCACATTGTATTTAAACATTATTGAAACATTACTTTAAAGATATACATCACCTACAATTTATTGCAGAGTTGCACTAAACTTCAGTAGAAACCTTCTGGTGTCAAATATTCACAACTGAGCGATCATTACAACAAATGTATACTCTGTTTTACAGGAAGTAAATCTGTGTTGATGAGTGCGAGTTTTCATGTTGATGAACAGTCTGGAAAAACATCACAGAAGAAAACTCTCCACAGAAACATTGTAAAAAGTCCCTGCCACAAATTGAGAGGAAACTATTATAGTTTACAATTTTTAAATTGGTTAATACAAAGTACTCCCCAAATTTCAGTCTATAAAACCAAACTTAATCTATAACCACGAAATGAGTTCGCAGTCTTCCTATCCAAGGTGTTTGATTCCTTAGTATGTCAGTGATTTTTGTGTCAATGAACCGAAACTGAACCGAAGAAGCTGAATGAAAAAAGACATAAATTAGGGGCTTTTGTTTGAGGACAGAGCATTTGTGATGTATCTTCTGCAGCGACCAGAACAGAGGGTCATAGGTCGTTAAAAAAAAAACTTTCCCCATTTTTGTAAGAGTTTGTGTTGACTCTCGATCAATCATTCACTTTTTGTTGGTGCAGACAGCAGCGGTGGACCATGGCATACGCTTTGTGATGCGATATGTTTCAGCTTCCCTGATCATTTTCCAAAATGGGGACATTCAGTCATGTGGTTGTGGCTTTATGTGCTCTGCATCTGCTCATCAACCCAACTGTGAACGCGATCAGGAAGCCGTGGACAACTTCTCAGGCCAGGTGCAGTATTTGTCACTTCACCAATTCAAACAATCAGTTTGAGAAATCCCAAGCTGGGCTTAGTGTGTGACAAAAGAAATGTTTTGCTGCGATGGTTAGGAGGGCCAGAGCTGCAAACGGTCCGGATCCCATCGACTGTAGAGTGGGGAGGTGGTCGTCTTGGGCACGGTGCGACTCCTGCACAGATAAAACGGTGAGGACGTTTTTCTCTGTGACACACAAAAAACCAAAACCTCCATTTGTTTTCTCAAAGCACCAATCTAGATGATCTGATGCGATCATCAGATCATCTAGATTGATGATGTGATGATTGTGATGATCCCATCACAATCTAGATGACGTGATGGGATCATCACGTCCTCTAGATTGGTGCTACAGGGGTCACCGAAGGAAGGACTGGGTCAACTATGCACCTTTTAACTCTCACCACTAAAAGTAGCTGGGTTCTGCATTAAATATAACTGCTTATGAAAAAGGTTCATTTCCAGGTCATTTCTTTTGTGGGAAAATACATCATTTGTAAAAACATATTGTTTGAAGTCACTGATATTGTAATCATTTCCCTGAAATCAAAACCAAAGCATTATTTGGCTGATCATTTAACTTTGTTAAATGTTGTAATTATTAACCCACAACCTTCTGTTTCTTTGGGGTACAGTAGGCTTCATTCTGTCAAATGAAGCCTGATATTTTTGCCTCCATGAAGAGTGAGCGGGAAGATACCAGCAGTAGTTCCAATACAATCATAAAACATTTGACTTGTATAACTCCCAGCTTCAATGTAATGGAACATATATATATATATATTTATATATATAATATTTAGTTTTAAAGTCAACCTTACTGACCTTTATTTGATAGTTCTTGGACAAGAAACTGGGTTATGATGGAGGGGAAAGACATATAGGTTAGGACTCAAACCTCTGATGGCATGTCGAGGACTGAGGCCTTCATCTTTGGGTCACACACTTTATCTCTGTGTCATTGCCGCACACTTAACAAGCTTCGTTACTTCGTCTTAGTCACGTTTTCGACACTTGGAGAAACCCGCACAGTTTGGTGGGACAGCCTGTGTTGGGACGTTGTGGGACCGGCTGGCGTGTCCAACGGCGACCTCCCAGTGCATGGTCAAGGATTACTGCGGGGACAGTTTCACCTGCAGCGAAACAGGCAAGTCCCGCCAAAAGGACTTTTAGGGTGACTTGCTTTTTCAAAGTCAAGGGAGGTTTGTGTGTTTCTGAACCGTTGTTCATCCTTCCAGGACGCTGCATAAGCCAATCCCTTCGCTGTAACGGAGAACAGGACTGCAACGATTTCTCTGACGAAGACGAATGCGATCGCATCAACCAGAGAGAGGACAAGTGTTCAACCTTGATCCCAATTCCTGGTGCTGAACGTGGCACGCAGGGGTGAGTCCTGGATGCTTTCCGCAGATATGAACTTACCTTGTTTGAAAACAAACTACTATTGCTTTCTCTTTTAAAGCTACAACCTCCTAACTCAAGACTTTATGGATCAAGTGCTTGACCCTAAGTACTTTGGAGGAAAGTGTGAATACGTCTACAATGGAGAATGGAGTAAACTAATCTATGATGCATTCTGTGAGAGCCTACAATACAATGAAGATGAAAAGAACTACAGAAAGCCTTACAATTACCATACCTACAGTTTTGTGGTAGGTATGGTGGCTGTTTATGTAAAGTAGAAATTGATGATTTCCAGAAAAACCATGGATGTAACTAAAGGTGAACCCGTCACAGGCTGAAGCCACCTCCCAGGGCTCCGATGAATATTTTGAAGACATGCAAAGGCTACTGGAAGCGAGGCAGTCCATGTCGTCCTCCAATTGGGGCTTCTCTGTTGGGATCGCTTATGTGGAAATCGGAGTGAACAATAATGCAGAATCCGAGTTTCTCAAGAACCTCACAAAATATCAAAGCCAGGTACGTTCTAAAAAACAATCAATAAAAGGACTATGATGACAATCAGCATAATAATAATAAAAAAAAAGAACTCCTGGGTGAAATCAAATATTGTGCCGCGTTTATGTCCCTGAAATGAAACTGAAGAAAAGAAATACGACAATCTGAAAGCCACGTCTTGCTTTTTAAACCCACAGTCAGCAACATTTAAGCACCCAAATAATTTCACTTTATGTAACTGGTGCAAAAAAATTATTAGCTGAAACAAAGTACGCACAGTTTGTCGAGGACACGGCGCTTTCTGAAAGTATTTACAACCCCTTGGATCTTTCCACATTTTGTCACATCACAACCACATAATCTGCTGTATCTTCTTGGTATTTAATGTGGCAAGAAGGAAAATTAGAGCAGATCCCGATTATTAGAAGGAAGTTGTAGTTTCCATCCCATGAATAAAGAGGATTAGGGACGACAAGCCACAGCAAATAACTAAAATACTTTGGACCCACTCTAAGCGTTTACTCCCCCTTCCTGTTTTGATAATACAAACACCTAATGTGGCTTAATATGCACAGTGCAAAACAAATTACCACAGCTGTATAAGCTAAGATCTACAGCCTCATTGTATGAGGATATTTCAGCATACCACTCTACAATTTCTTTAAATATTTTAGAGAAAAGTCTGTGAATAATTTGGAGTAACGTTCCACACACACAAAAGGTTGGGTATCCGCTTTGTTTGGTTCAGAAAACATCGTACCACCTTTACACCTCGGGGTTTTCTGCTTTATGTTCAGGACTTCAGCTTCATCAGGGTTTGGTCCAAAGTGCAAACTGCCCACTTCAAAATGCGAAGCAACCAGCTGATGCTTCACGAAGATTTCTACATCGCCCTCATGGAGCTTCCTGAACAGTACGACTTTGGCGTTTACTCCCGCTTCCTGAACACCTTCGGTACCCACTACGTCACAGAGGGAACCATGGGGGGATCTCTGGAATACGTCGCCGTCCTAAATAAAACGGCTATGGCCAAGTCAAGTAATCAAACATTGCTTGGTTTAAATTAGGAGCTCTGGTGGAAATCAAGCAATTCGAGTGAAAATGTTTCATCTTCTTTCCTGACTCTTCCAGATATTGAAGCAGAAAGATTTCAGTCGTGCTTCGGAATGTCTCTCGGCATAAGTTACCCAGTCTCTGCAACCGAAGATTTAAATCTAAAGGTTAATCTAAGAGACTGTGAAAAAAACAAGGACTATTTTAGAGGTGAGAAATTGTACTTCAGGTGGGTGTGCCTTTTTCCATCTTTAATTATTGATTCACTTTGGACATTTAACTCCGCAAAATCAGAAAAACCAAGTATTCCATTTATTGAAATAACCTGCCAACGGAACTAGTACCGTTATAGAAATATTAAGGAACAATTGACTTAAAACAGGTTCCTATGTCTTGTCTTTAAGAAAATTGACTTTCCAATTAGTTTTGAATATTTCAAATGCACTAAGATAGTTACACCAGTAGCAAAATACTTGGCAACATTTTGTGTCGTTGCACAAAATCTTACCAAACTTGCTTGTCGCAGCCTTAAATCACTGCTTTGTTCGTTGCAGCAAACTCCTCTGAGTCGGCCGTGGTTGAGGACATCATCAAACTGGTCAAAGGGGGGATCACAGAGACCATCTCAGGACTGCTGGTCATCAAGGACCAGGAAACGTACAGAAAGTGGGGGGCCTCTCTCAAATACAACCCGGCTCTGATTGACTTCGAGGTGACAACGCAGTCAGAAGATGGCGACGTTGCGATCCCCGCCAAAATCTCACACCGATTTCCATTCCTGACTGCAGCTCTTGCCGATCTTTGAGGCTGTGCGCCTCAGCACGGCGGCCGACCACGCAGGAGCCAGAGTGGAAAACCTGGAGAGGGCCATAGAGGAGTATCTGCGGGAGTTTGACCCTTGTCGGTGCGACCCCTGCAGGCACAACGGGACTCCTGTCCTCTCAGGCACCTCGTGCAGGTGCATCTGCAGGCCGGGCTTCCGGGGCGTGGCCTGCGAGGAGACGCTCAGGAGAGGTGAGCAACCAAAACCTACAAACATTTTCAACTACTAAAGGTTGAATTAGGGTAGGTTGGTATTTCTTATATGCGGTTTGAAGGTTTAATTGATGTATATTTCTTGAAAATGTTTCCCTGTGGATAGCAAACAAAGTTTCCACTAAATGAATTCCCTTTAAAAAAAAAAGTTCACACTTTGGGTTAAATGTGCTCGTTTTTATTTTTTATTTATTTATTTACAGATGTCTTGAAAACTTGATATTAGCTGCGTTCCAATCACAAAACTTTTGTGAAGAAAAAAAAATGTGTGTATTGTGAAAAAGAAAAAAAAAGAAGAAATACAAACAAGAAAAGCAATTAAAATTGCACATTTGTTCGCACAAGAAGTCGATTGAAAACATGCAGCGCCACAACTCTCCGTCATTTCTGTCAGTAGTAACAACCGGTCATTAACACATAATTGTTGATGCAAACAAAACAAAACAAAACAAAAAACAACGGGTGGTCCATTGCAGTTCTGCAGTATTTCGCTAAACTGCAGTGGGCCATTCGTTTGTATGGTCAATAAAAACGCAGTTGAAAATAGAAGCGTTTTTATTAACCATAAAATTGCAAAAAATTGAAATGACAAAAATACATTTGCTTAATGGAAACATCCCAGTTACATAAACACTCAAGCTTTTCAATAAAAAGGATTTTTTGTTTGTTTGTTTAGAGGCAGAATTTGGGGCCAAACTTACTCGACATTTCAAATTTTCGATGACACTTGTAGCTGTCAGTTTCTAAGAAAAAACAAACAAAAACATTGAGAGCAACACGTTGTGCTTTTTGCTACTTCTGTCTGAAATAATTTTTTCAAAGCAAAGGTTATAAGCAGTTATGCCTCGCACTGCTTTGGAAACAGCAAAGGGGCCCATCATGTGACCCTGAGGGACACCGAACGAGCTCAGGGAGTTGGTTCTTGATGTCTTCGTTGGAATGAAGCCCGTTATAGCTGACAGAACGTAAACACACTGAATGGGTTTCACTAGAATTTGGATTCCAGCCTTCACACAGAGGAATAACATAGAAATATTTCTCATAGACTTCCGGTACTTTCGTCCAAGCCAAATTTTCCTAGCATTCCCGCTTGCTGCTGTAGACTCGGTTTAATCAGCAAAGCTTATTAAAAGCCATGTTATGCCTTTGCTCGTTAACAATGATTCGTCTTTGATATAAAATGTACCACAGTTGTTTAAGTAAAGCAGAAAGAAACAGTTTCCTTTTTGTCTGACAGATGTAAGGACGGATGGCTCGTGGTCCTGCTGGGGGGCGTGGTCTTCCTGCTCGTCAGGAACGAAAAGCAGGATGAGAGCCTGCAACAATCCTTCACCTGAAGGGGGCGGGGCACCCTGCCTGGGCTCAGCCAATCAGAATCGCCGATGCTAAAAGGAAAAATTTTTTCCCCCTCCCTCCACATAGAAACGGGGTAACGAGTCATCGTCAATGAGTTGTAAAAACAAATAAATGAACTTTGGAGACTTTGTGTATCTTTGAGCCTCTATTCTTTTCAAGAATCTCGGTTTTATTGCGTGTGACAGTAAGGAAGTTATGTTATGTTTGTATGAAGGATAAATGTGAGTAATCTAGATCAGTGCCTGATCTAGATTCAGCTGAAGATGTCGCTCTCATCCTCAATTAAATACTTTCTCACAGGACGAATCATTCGAATAAAACACCAAGTCACATACATGTTGGTAGATACTTTATTTACTTTCTCTTCTTTAACATCTGAGACTTTAAAAGCACTCAGTGGACTCCTGCTGCAGCCCCCTGCATGGGAGGCCGCCGCTGCTCGGTGCCGGGTTGCTGCACTGTCGACTCCGGGTCATTTGACCCCCGCCGCAGGATGACCACGCTCCCCAACAGCTCCAGCCGCCATCGATGCCCAACTCTACGGTAAAACAAGCACGCCTTTCGTCACGTCTCGGTGCGTTGCAGGATGAAATGTGTGGTGCATCGGGAAAATACTTCTAGCGTTCGGCTTCATCCACCTTTTCGCCTGGAAGTGATTTCGCAACTCCGTCCGCTGTAGCCGGCAGGACACAGGCACTCGCACCTTGTGCCTGTCGAGCAAGCAGACAGTATTACTTTTGCTGCCGTTGGATTTAAATTCAGATGTCGCGTTGAACAAGTTCTAAATGTGTAACTGTAAGTTTGAACATTTACGTTTGTGGTTGACAGAAGGCACACCGTCAATGCAGGTTTTGACAAGTCAGGACACAATCTGAAATCCTTTACAGCTGCAGACAGACTAGCGGACGGTGAACACCTCTGGATGACGGCTGGTCATCCTGAGAGAAGCCGCCGCCTCCTGGTCTCACAGACCACACAGTCCAGCTCTTCAATCAAGGCTTGTCTTGAAACCTTGACTGACGTTTCTTGATTGAATTTGACTGGCCCACCTATAGTTTCTCGTGTTTTAACTTCTCGATTAACATTTATTGAAATGCCTTAGTCTTTGCATCCCACCACAAGATGACAATCAGATTTTTTTTTTCTATTACTCTGTGGTCTTTCAACCAATGTCAGCATAGAAATGTGGATGATTGACCATTAACTGGCAGCTTCCTCACATGCTGATGACTTTGTTTAACAGCAGGACCTGAAATACCTCTTCAGTGTTCAGGAGTGAAATATGAGTTCATGTGTCTGATGGGTCTGAATGGGTCATCCAGAGACCCATTCTTTGGGTCTTTGGATGACCGCGTTATATGAAGAGTGAACCAAAAGTCCTTAGAAAGACTGAAAAAGCAACAATTTCACTTGAAGAAAACAACTTCCTCGAGTTAAGGTTCGCGTTAAAACGAGAAAGGACTTTATGAAACCATCCAAAGTCTAATACCTTTTAGAACCGCCACGCCGTTGTTGTGACAGGCAGCGCAGCGACAGGCGCTGGTCTCAGCCAGGTACTCGGACAGAGCTCTCTTCAGGTTCCTCTTCAGACTGTCGGCCTGGACGAAGTCTCTGGAGGTCACCAGCTCGTACAGCGGCTTGGTCTGATCATACACACAGTGATGTTCAATCGTAACAAATGCTTCTTGTTTTACTGCTCAAATCATCTGAAAATGAGAGGTTTTTCCACTGAGCCAGCATAAACTTGTTTCCAACAGCAAAACATCAGCCGATTTCTCTCTGGCACGCTAACTTGCTTGGACTGTTTAGCTGTTTTACTCCCTAAATTGTCATTGATCTGTTCTATTGTACTGTAACTCTTTGTAACTGTGCCAACGCTGGCCGAGCATCAAGCTGTCTGACCTGATTCATTGCTCTCAGCTTAATTAGCGCCTCAGACAATGGAGGAGCGAAACACACAGAAACAAACGTCTATTGACCTGGTTGATGTCGGAGGAAAGCAACACACATAAAAAAAAATAAGTGGACCTAAATCTTTTAAGTGTGCAGTTTGAGCTCACCGTCATGCGGATGAAGTCCGGGTTATAACGGACGCCTTCACCCCAGAGCCTCATCAGCTGTTCACTGGGAAGCTTCTGAGACAACAAAGCAGTGATGGCTTCACTGCTTCCGCCCCGAACGACGGCAACGAAGTCCTCCACCGTCGCCCCGTTCTTTGTGTCCTCTGAATGCAAGCAGAGGATTGTTTCGTGGGGTGCAACTCGTGAGTAAGGTGTAAGAAATTCGATCAGAGACGTAGTCCCACCTCCCATTTCGTTCAGAAGTCCAGTACAGGATCCACCTCCAGCGCCCAAGGATACAGGAACTTTCTTAATGGTCACCCCAATCTTGAAGCCAATCTGCAGGCAATTTTTGTACTGCTCCAAATTATAATCTAGGATGACAAACCAGAGTGTGATTACTTTTTAAGTGCTTGAAAATCAGATCTAAACCATGTTGCCATGCTACGCGGTTTGAATTCTGGTGCCATAATCACTCCAGACCTGACTTGTCCAGCTTCTCTTTGTTCAGGATGGTGGTGTGCTCAAAGTCTCCTCCGAGGGCGGCCTCGGTGATGTAGTGGGTGCCGTAGTCCTTGTAGATCTGTCTGTACTCCCCATAAACGTACGCCTGTGGCAGAGAGCGAAGGCGCTGCAGGAACTCCGGGTGAAGCACCAAGCCGTCGGCCTTCAGGATGTACTGGGCCAGCTCCAGCTCCGCCTTGGCTTGAATGAAGCTGTTCGTCTAGAGATCAGGGAGCAACGGTGAGGGAACGTGACGTTTCTCAGAACACAGCGCTGCAGGTTAGCTGGTTGTCTAGAGAGCTGCTAGAGGGACAAACGTACAACTCCGGAGGCACGTCGAATCTTGCTGACAGACTTCCTGTATTTGGAGGAGCCGTAATTGAACCCAAAGTTGAAAACGCCCGGAATGCTGACGCCAATTGAGAAAGAGGTCCAGGTCATCCGCTCCCTGAAAGTGTGATCCATGTAGTCAGAGTACGACTCGAACGACTGCAGGGTGAAATCGTACGAACCTCTCGTCTGTAGGCAGAAAAATATTATGGGATGACGGACAGACATTGCCGTGATTTGAAGCGCTTCAAATGGTTTTGAGGAATATCAGCTCCTGTAGTTTGGAAAATCTGTCTAAATCACCCAAGAGGTGAGCGTTGAGTTTCCTTTTAAAAAACCAAAACATGCGATCTACTCTCATGACCTCTATAACAGACAAGAGAGCGACTCTTTCTTCAAAAATATGTTGTATTTTGTCCACTTTGCCCATTAAAAAAAATGCAAGGAAGGCAAAAAAAAAAAAAAAAATATATGGCTATTAAAAGACAAAACCCCCCCAAAATGTTGTGTTGTACCCAACAACATATTCCATTTTGAGAAAATGTAAATAAAACAGGAAGGATCAAATTTGCTCATCTTTGTCTTCTCATTGTATAAAACATATTTCTGTGTGTCATGTTCCGTTTTCGATGCGACTCTGACCAAAGTCAGCCGTTTTGACCTGCATCGTGTACTGCTGCAAGTTGAAAGGCTTCCTGAACGGGACGTCCTGGATGTAGTGAGGCAGGCAGCCGCCTCCGTAGTATCTGTTATCAAGCACCACGCCTTCCAGGTGGCTGGTCAGGACGTTTATCCTGAAAGGAAAAGTATCAGCGTTGATGCGGAGAGTAAAGTCTGACAAACGGCAGCAGAAGGAACAAAGAAACCCAGCAAAGTGACTCACCCTTTGGCCAGGTTTTCTATCCCCCAGTACTCTTCTGCCTCCACCCTGCAGGGCTTGGACATCTTCGTGCAGCCGACCTCGTCGGACATGTCCCCACAGTCGTCCTCTCCGTTACACTGCAGGGTCCTGTGGACACAGCGACCTGGGGGACGAGAAGGAGACGCTCTCAGACGGTTGCACTGCTTCTGGCTCATATTTTACATTCTTCTTTCTGTGTATATGGTTGACAACTTTTATGATGAATGAAATTGCTTGTCCAGTGTTAAAGTCAGTCAGCACTGGGCATATTTTCAGTAATCTGATAATAGACTAATTTTCTGTTTAGCGTTTCTGCTAACAATGAAAACATTAAGCTTCCGCAAAATTAATTTCTCTGAATGAACGACAATTTAGTTAAACTCCCTCCGATGAAAAAGTTTGACATCAGGATTGAAGATTAGGTTATTGACCTCAGAGTGCTTCTAGTAGTTAAGACGTTTATAATTGGAGCTTCAGGCTTAGAAAATGATGAAACTAAGATTTCACTTTGTCAAAGGTTCAAATTAGGCCAACTGAATGTCAGATAATAATGGAAAAAAGTGTTTCATATGTCATCAATGCAAAATGCGAGGAAACATATGGAAATATCAAATCAGCCCACCAGAAGAAGTTGTTAGATGTTGTTGAACTTTATTGTAAAAGTCAAATTTTTGTCATGTTCCAGACATAAATGTTAATATATGTTATGGGCGTTTCACCAAACCAAATCAAGAGAGCATAACAACTGAGAACTGGAGGAAAAATAGATAGATATGGTCACTAGAGTAAACCAGACATGGAGACAGACGTGCAGCTTACCTGTCTGTGTGCAGAGGAAACCCTCACACAGAGGGACGTTATCGCAGGTGTAGCGGGCCGGAACCTCGCAGCGCTCCTCCTGGGTGCCGTGAAGGTAGCACGGCTCTCCTCCAAACTGAGAGGGCTGCTCAAGTTTGGCATAGCGGTACTGGTTGTAGTCGGAGGGAGACACACACGCCGAGTGTCAGCACAAATCGTCTTGCCAACATCCTCTAACATCCTGTGGCTCCGGAGCTCCACCAGAGAGCCGTAATGGGTGAAATCACATCCGTGGGCTGTTCTCACTTTGTCATGTCAGCTTTATTAATCCCCTCTCTTGTGAAGTGGGTGAGGTGGAGGACTGGAGTGGATCAGCTCTGACCTTTGTCAGCGGTGGAGCTCTTTACAGTCCACACAGAGCTCTCCTCTGATCAAACACAGCACGCCAATTGACTGGCTCTTAAATATTCAAATGTCGAAAGCCTCCAAAAAGCCCATCGTTTCTCTGCCACCAAGTAATCTGTCTCTAATCTGACTCCAGGTCAAACTAATTTGCTGCTGTCAGTGGAATCAGTTCAGCTTTTACTATCTGGACATATATTTACCTTTGCTAGTTTTTTTTGGTCTGTTTTCATGCTGAACATTAACTGGTTTTAATTTACTAAAAACAACACAAAAAAAGCGCAGAAACAAAAACAGACAGCTTTTTCTGCCTCAGCTAATTAATAAGCTAGCAAACGTTTCTAAAATGATTTACATTTCAGTCGACTTTTACTTTGGGCAACAGCACACAAGCTCTCATTATTAACATTAATGCTAAAAATGCTTTTATGACTTTTTCAAGCTGTTCATTTTCCAAATCGTCAGAGGTCTAAAAGGCCTGGCAGCCATATTGGATTTTGGGATCAGTGTTGAAACAGATGAGAAACTCCCAACTTTCCCTTGTGGAGTTCCAGCCTCAGGAAACCTTTCGGTTTCCAACTTAGTCCTAGTTGGAAACTTTGTACATTTTAAACTGCAAATAATACAATTATTTATTTTAATATTTTTGCACACAACAAAGGAAACAAAAATCCTGTTTTGCTACTGGTTTGAAATGTCTGTTGGTGTGTGCAGCAAAAATTTCAATTTGTGCCGCTACCATTCAAAGGTCAACCAGACACCGCGCCTTTACAAAGTCGAGCAAAATGTGGATCCAATCAGCTGTGCTACATTTTTGCAGCAAAACTTTTGGTTTGTGTAATTCTAATTTTTAAGATTAAAACCAAACAAAGGACCTGGTTTCCAGAGGTCACCATAGATAAACCTGCCCTACCCACACATAACAAAGCTAAACAAAATGTATTTAAATTATTTAATTTCAGGTTTGTGCAACAAAAAGGTTTTGTAGGACAGTTGGGGGTCTGGTTGACATTTGATGATTTCTCAAAATATTAAATGACAACAGCGCAAATTCAAATCTTTGCGACACAAACACCAATTTTGCTCGATTTGAAGAAGGCAGGGTGACAAAACTTCACTCAGGTCTCATCAGTTACTGCCCGACATTCGTCGAAGCACGATTATGAACCGTGTCTTTGCCTCCTCGACGTCGCAACTTACTTTCTTCTTGGTGCAGGTGTCACAGCGGGACCAACGGCTCCACTCCGATAAAACGCAGTCCACTGGCTGAACTACCACCTGGTTTCCCACTGAACGGGTTTCACGAACACTGGAGTTCTGATCGCTTGCTCGTGTTCGGGGAAACTCACTGTGACGAGAAATCAGAACTAACAACATGCAGCCTGAAAGCAAATGTGTTTATCTAAAAGGGCGGCGTTGTGTATTTCACAGGCACACAGGACCGTTTTATAGCACAGTCCAGTAACTGTGTTACCTGCAACTGAATATATTAAACATGACTGAAAAGAAATGCCACTTTGTAATTTAACACCTTGAAATTGGGCCACTGTCTCTTTAAGAAGCTCTTGCTCTTTCTGAAACTCCGCCTTCAGGAAGTCATCACAACATGGCTCCTCTATTAAACCTTTAACAACATTTTACCAGCGTTGCAATTAGAAGCAGCTCCTGAAATGAGCTCAGCAAATGAACAGCTCCACCAGGCGTTTGCTAATTGCTGCTGCTAGTCTGAAGGAGCCGAGTGTGTATGGGTGTGTGTGTGGAAGGAGTTGCGCTCTGTGAGGCAGAGGCTTGAAAACTCCCGCTCTGAGAAGAAGCTTCATCATAAAGGTGGCGCTCAGTCCCACCAAGCTTTTTTAACACAACTGAATGGTTGCGATGGAGATTAAAGGATTTCTCAGACATTCATGAAGGAATCAGAGCAACACTCCAGGTGCTTTTTGACCAGGGAATAGCATTACAACACGATATAAAGCTCACAAAAGTCAATCTTACATCAAACTGCCCCTTCAAAACGATTTGTGCTGAGATGACAAACAAATCGGAACATTTTTCTTTTTACATCAGCAAAGCGTCAGGGGGAAGCTACAGCTGAGCAGAAGTAATAAATCTCCTACCTTAGCAGCACCAAGCTGAGCGTCAGAGCGAGCAGGCAGCTGTGGGAACTGAATCTGCTCGGCTGCATCGTCACAGAAAACATGACTGTGTGTTACGAGCCGCTGTGACTGAGGGGAAAGCTCTGCTCTCTGCTCGCTGTGCAAACACGCGCTGATCAATACCGGCCTCAAGATGAACCCACTGCCACCATTAGACGCACAATCCCACAGGCCACAGAGCTGCACTGCGAGGTGTGTGTGTGTGTGTGTGTTTCCCACAGGTTCTACACAGTCTGATTAAAACGACGTTGATTCCCTGGTAAGTTCGGCGGACGGGCCTGAGACGTCTGTCATTTGCATTATGTGCGACACGTAATATCTGCTACTGACACACGCAGGAAACGTCCTTCTGACGACACGGTGGCGGTGAAAAATAATCGAGTCTGGGACGGTGGCACCATCATTTCCAGTCGAGTTGCAGCGCTGCGACCTTTAGCCTTTGTTCTGCTTTGCCAAACTGTGGTTTTCACAGGGTGGCGAAATCGCAGGAATTTGCTGCAGTCTGTTGATTCCAAGGAGCGTGGCGCAATACGGTAGTTATGGGATTTTTTTGCGTGTGTTTGTTTTTTATACAAAAATAAATCTTTTAGTAGGTTTGAAGAAATGACAACTTACAGCGGCGGAGTCCAAACTTTTTGTCACCTGGGACAAAATCGTCAAGTCAAAATTACGCGCAACCCAACAGAATAATAACAATAAAGTCAAAGAAATCTTATTGATATTTCCTGGCAGCAACTCGTCTCAAGATTTATCCCTCAGCCAAGTGGGGAGGCAGAGAGTCGGACTCTGATGAGATCTGATGGAGAAGCAGCCAGACTTTCGGACCTGGTAGGGTAAAACTCTTTATCCCACCAAAGCCGTGGAGTTCACTGACTCCAATGTGAGCTGGAGAGCTGAACGTTCCCAGTTTACCCTTCCAGTTTAAAGTCATTCCTTTAGAAACCTCCAAGTAATTTATTGAAAACTTCCCCTCTCTCAGTCATCAGCGGTTTAGTGTCATTATTTCATTTTTTTCGGTTTTATTTAAGTGTGTCATTGGCAAAAGCATTAGTTCAATTAAAAATACTAACCAGTCTTTATATTGATTCTGAATAAACCATATCTTGAGAAACATCTTCCATTATGTAGCATTGAGCGTCTCCTGGAAAGGAACTGATCATTTGATTCATCCATACAGATTTTTCTTTACCTAACCTATTGGAAAATCGTCATCAGTAAAGCTTAAAAGCAAATATGAATTTATTAAAAAGAGAGACAGTATAGAAGAAGTTATTAGTTGATGCAGGGCAGCCCCTGTCGGCTGTTCCCATCACTGTCACCTCGCACGGAAAGACAGAAACGCAGCAGTAACCTTGGGAATCACATGGTCATTTATTTGTGACAGAACAGTGTCATGGATACAGCATATGGGCACAGGGGGGGGGAGGAGTCATAGACGTACAAAAATCCCTTTCTCAGCGCAGTTCTTAATTCCATAAATAAACTTTACAAAATATTCTGGGACACTTTGTCTCGTTTGTCAGTCGACCGTTCATGACTGGTATCGTCTGGCAGGAAGCGTCGGTGACCTGTGGTTCGGACTGTTCACGTGGAGACGAAGTGCGGTAAGTGCTTGGTTACAACAACGCGGTGGCGTGACGGGAGCAGCGACTGGACAACGAAAACCGAACCCAGAGGAGACGCGTGTCGTTGAGCTTTCTGTTTGCTGAACCGTCCACAGTTTTGCCATTTTGCCACATTCCAACCACAAACTCGGATTTATTTCCTAGTGATTATAACTGATAGACCAACACAAGGTGGTCCACGATCGTAAAGCGAATTGTTATTTCGTTTGTTTTTATCACAGAAGTGTTTGATGCGAACTTTATGCATCTGACGTTTGAATAAAAAAAGAAAAAAAGCAGATTTCTTTGTCTAGTTTCTAGTGCAAATATCTTAAAATGAGACAAACCTAACTCCGAAGTAACTTCAAAAAGCCAGGCACAGCCAGGCACAGCCAGGCACAGCCAGGCACAGCCAGGCACAGCCAGGCACAGCCAGGCACAGCCAGGCACAGCCAGGCACAGCCAGGCACAGCCAGGCACAGCTAGCTTGTTTTAGTAGCTTGTTACCGGTAGCCTCCGTCTCCTTGAGTGTCAGAACTTTGACACTTTCAGTCGCTATTCAATCAGATTTAATCTGCGATATTTTGCAGAGAAGAACCAGCTGAATTAAATCAAAGCTGGGAAATACACCCCGAAAGACCTGATTTTTATATATTTTGCTGACAAAATGTGTAACAATTATGCTCTGCTTTGTGTTGGTCTAACTAAAAACAAAACAAAACAAAAAAACAAACTCAAAACGCATATAAGTTTGTGGTTCTAATGTGACTTAAAGGTAAAATAAATTTGCCAGTGATAGGAAAACGTCTTTTATCCCAATGCATTACTAAGTTTTTTCCCCCCCTATTGTTTCTTCAAGAAACCAGACAGACAGAGGCAAATTGTAAACAACGCGACCTTGGTTGAAAATGACATATATCTAAAAAGCTAAGAAAATCTGCCACTAGATGTTGGTAAAAAGGTAACACCTCTAGCTCCGCCCACATCGGAGAATCATCAGACTTTATTCTGCCTGAACAGGCAACACATATTCACAGTTCACTCCCTTCCCTCCCCAAAACCTTAAAAAAAACACACGCGTCTTTAGAAATTAGAAATAATAATGATAATTAAAAAAAACATGGCTCCAAGAAAGAAACAAAAAAATGTAAATTAATTTCCAGATGGTGAGACTGGAGATGCTGGTGGAGCGATGCTTCAGACAAACACACGTAGTTGGCATCCGAGAGGCAGAGTGCTATCTTATGGCACGGAGGCTCGGGTTTCAGGAGGGCACGGGGGAAAGATTCTTATTTACAAAGGAGACGTTTGGCAATTTGTCATTTCTACGTCTGCGTCGACTCCGGCGTCACCGGCTGGGAATTCACAGCTTATAAAAGACGAAGAATCGGAGTTTTCGATTTCCTTCCTCGGCCGAGATCGTCCAGCTCCCACCAGCCGTGTCTGTTCATGCAGACTGGTGAAACGGCGGCGCTAGGCGACGGGAAACTTTGCTGCGTACTGCGGCCAACGCACGGAGAGATGCTGCTCCTCTTTGACGTTTGTCAGGAAAAAAAAAAAAAAATTAGTTAGCATCATCAACGTCGTTTTTTTTTTTAAGACTCTCCCAGTTCGAAACGGAAGGATGCGCGCTCCTCCCGCTAAAGGAGTCCGATGTCAAAGGTCACTTCCTGGTTGAAGAGTTATTTGATTGGACATGCTGAGGAGAGCAATACAGTGTGTGGCCTCTCGAGAAAAAATAAAGCAGTTCCTCTGATAGCCAGAAATATCCTTTAAATGATATATATTTTTGTATATATATATTTTAAAAAAAACAACAGCTGGCCTGTGTAATCACAGTCACTTGTCCGTCTTGTTTTTCCCAGCAGCTCCAGTTTCAGGACGGAAAGCTTCCATATCCCTAAATGGAAGATGAAGGAAAAAACAAAAAACAAAACTCTTTTAGTGCAGTTATAAGCCTCACCACCAGATGTCACTGTGGTGCCTTCCCAGCTTCAGATTGATTTACATGGAGGCTGCGGTTGGCAGCAAAGCTTTCCATTCACAGTAAAAACTGGGATGCAAGCTGACAGATGGAAATATGAAGCCAATAAAGGACAGAAAGATGGGTTTATGGGGGAAAAGGACGAGGCGAGGGAAATCGCTTGGCATTGACAAGAAAAAGAGTTGGGGAGTGGAGACACAAATGTCACGCGGTGAAGACGGCTGATTAATATCTGTGGGAAATGAGAGGAAGAACGGGCTGATGAAACGCTCACCGCCTTCCCACCACCTGCGTCCCTCTAGCTGTCTTTCTGCTGACCCGTCTGCTCTGTCGGCTCGCCAGCTTCGCTGGGCAGCGGAGAGTCCGAGCTCGCCGAACCCTGGGTCGGAGACAGATCAGCTCTTCTTCACTCTGACTTCCCACCCAAATGTTGGGAGGTGTAATCATTCTAAAAGATTTCACCTCATTACGCCAAGTAATCAACACACTTAATTGATGTTTGACCTTTTGTGTGTAAGTGATTTGACTTTTTTGTGTTGCTAGACGTAAATAACTTCAGTCCTGTGATAATCACACGAGACATCATACATCTTCCCCACTGCAATAAGAATCTGCTGATAAGTGTGATCCGTGAATCCCAGTGGGAGAGGCAAGCACTTACTGATTGTTCCTCCCTGGCGTTGCTGGGGGGTCCCTCCGGGTCAACGGGGGAGTGGTCTGTCAGGGGGTCGCTGCCCTGGGAGGGAGGGCAGTCTGACGACGAGCTCTGCTGAGGGGCGGGTGTGGATGCTGCGAACAGAAAGCCGGGGGAATGCGATGAGATGAGAGATGGGAATCTAGATCATGACCTTTAAGCACGTCTGCCTTCGACGACGTTGGCTTTCAGACGAGGCTCGTTCTGACAGGCGGTCAGCCGCTTCCCTTCTCTTCAAGAGGGACAGAAGAAGACCGAGAAGGTGTGCGGGAAGGCAGACGGGCGGATCGTTTCGCAGGAAAGCTGAAGCAAACACAAACGTCTAACAATTAGCGGTACGTGAAAGGCGAAGGCTGTGACGACAGTTTCCCCACAAAACTGGAGACAGCGGAATAGTAAAGATGACAGTTCAAAGCGGCCAGCAAGACATCTGTAAAGGCAGTAATGAATGTGAGAAGAGAAGCAGAGGGAGTTTCTTTGAGTGAAGGTCACCAGGAAAACAAAGGTCACTAACTCAACAGTCCTTCCAGTCAATGATTGGTGGGTCATGGTGATGAAACCCTCTGGAGGTAGAAATTTTTTAGGTTTTCACACCTGATGGACTCAAATGTTGCAGTTTTAGTCCCAAATCAAATTTACATTTTCAGCTGCTGCGGTTCACTTTCACACTGCACTGACAAATGATCTGAAACCTGTTCGCCCTCCTCGCCCGCGTTGGTACGGCACCAAGAACCACTGAAGCAAACGACACAAAACTCTTTGAAGAAGACGCTGATCGAAACATCTTCACAAAATGTAAATAAAGTGGAGTGGCGTCAGATGTTAGCAGTTGTAGGATTTCTTTTTTGTCTCTGGTAAAAGACCTCAAGCCTTTTCTCCCACTGCTGTATGACTAGTGTGTTTGTTTTGGTTATCTTTACCCAGAATGCCGTGCACCGTAGTTTGATTAATGCTTTACTATAGGAAGCAAACTACAGAAAAGCTAATGGTGTAAAATGGCAGGTATCTCACCGGTTTCTCAATTGACAATGTTATGACGTTTTGGTTTTTATGCTTTAATGATGTAAAGCACGTTGAACTGCCTTGTTGATGAAATATGCTGTACAAATAAACATGATTGACCGATTGATAGAAACTGCCTGAATAAAGTGCGTTCAGAAACACTTACGTGATTCGGTTGATGGTGAGGTGGACGTTCCTGGGCTCAAAGTCATCCTGGACAGATCAAGGTCGCTACAGCTACCTTCTTCCTCCTGATTGGCCGCTGCCTGAGGAGGCAGCAGCTGACTGCAGACCAGCGTGTCAGGCACACTCATGAGGCAAGGGGTTCCGCACCTGCTCGCCCCTCCGGACACCACGCCGGGTCCCGCTCCCGATGTGGACGGGCCCTCGCCCGTGTCCAAGTCCGCGCCCAGTCCTTCCTTCCCCAGGCTGAGCTGCCTCTGGAGCAGGGCGGGGTCGGCCATGTGCTGGGGGCTGGTGATGGCCGAGGAAGGCGCCGACAGGTCGCACGCTTGGGGGCACACGGTGGTAATGGGGACCAGGCCTTGGAGCATGGCAGCTGGTATGGCGTGGCCTCCGACCCCCACCGTCTGGGCCGGCATGTACGCTGCCATGGCCGCCCACTGCTGCTGGGTGGTGGGGAAAATGTTGGCCTGGCTCAGGATGATGGGCTGACCGCCGGGGAGGACCTGAGCCACCTGGAGGGGGCCCTGAACGGGGAAGGCCAAAGTCTGAGCCTGGCCGGGAAACGGCTGCTGGGCCCACTGAGCCGCTTGGACCGGCCCCATGGTCATATAACCTGGAGGAGACAAACATCGTCTGAAGGAGGAGTTCAACCAATCAATGGCGAGAGAAGGACACTGAGAAGCAGCCAAGAGGACCAGACTAAGACCAGAGACCAGAGAATCTGCTCACTATTAGTCAAGGATCCTATTAAAACGGGACATTTTGAAAAGCTGTAAGAAGTCAAGTTTGTAGTTGACTTCCGCATAGAGGAAACAGCAAACATGGAAGTAAACCAAAAGGAAACTTTAGAGCAGTGGACAGTATTTACAAGGAGCTTGTGCTCAACAAGGAAAACAAACTTATGATTGACAAAACCCTTTTTACCTGGACAACTGTATTAACTGCCTCTTCTGACTGAAAACAGGTAAAAGTTCTCATTGGTTCCACAAGCTTTTAAGCTACTACAGATACACTACATACATGAATATGAATATGTATGTAGTGTATCTGAAGGAATGCCTGGTTGGTCTGTAAATTGAGTGATTGTGTGAGGCTGTGCCTGAGATACGCCTGTATCATTATTCTACTACAAATCAATTTTGAAACAGGGATAAGTTATCTATCCAACCAACCATCTATAAAATACGCCACACAATCCCCACTGTGGTGCCAGCATCACGGTGGGTGCACAAACACCAAGAAGCTAAACAAAATTGCAAAACTGTACAGAAAGTACAGAATTTGCATTTAAGATGGTTTGTAAATACGTTCAGACAAAAGGCAAAGCTTCAGGTTCACTTGGTTCAAATTCCAAAACACAAAATCTCTTTGGCTACCTTTTGCTGTCTAGTTATTAGTCGGTGCATAATTGTTCAAATTCATCAGTGGATCTATAAAATTATTAAAATGTTTATTTTCCCAACCTAGTTCATATAAACTCAATGAAACACATTTGTGGTTCAGCCATTTCAAAATGATGTGAAAGAGTTGAATATCATGCACAATTTTATGAATATCAAATATGCCTACAGCTAATTGTCTCTAACTTTTTCATTTGTCAACTGCTGCTGATCTACCACTTCCACTCAGAGGAAGCGAGCGAATGATGGAGTTTGTCGTGTTCCCAATTTGAATCGGAGGTGAGACAGGAAGCGTGGTCGTCTACCTGACGGCACGGAGGTCGGGCTGAAGGGGGCGTACAGCTCGGCGGGGTTGTGCTGCTGCTGCTGCTGCTGGCGGCTGCTCCGGTTCGGGTCCAGCGTGTTGGCAGGTGACGGGGGCATCTGGAAGGACACACATGTCACCTCTCCCAAAGTCACCTAAAAGTCGCACTGAGATCAGAGCGATCCTGATCGCCACCAGCGCCCTCGTGTCGGTTCCGCTGATATTAAAGCGCTGTTTTTTTTTTATTATTTTTTTTCTTTTTTGCCGGAGGTACTCACCGAGGGAGGGGTGGACATGTCGCCGAAAAGATCAAAGTGGTTGATGTTCTACGCGTTGGGCCGTACGACGAGGTGGAGAGGGGGGAGAGAAAACGAGAGAAAAGTCTGGTGATACATCAGCTCCTGAAAAACTCCAGAGTCACAACCGTTTTATTTCTCACTTGGGCTGTCGGTGGTTGCATGGTTGGATAGGTGTGGGCAGTAAAAATCTATTCATAAAGACGCTTTGTGCTGCGGACGGCAAGAAACAACTATCCCCCTCATTTCATTAGCAGTTAATGGATCTAAAATGAATCTTTCATGCTTCGCTGTAATTGAGTTGATAAAAGGCTATTGGGTTCCATAAAACAGACTCTGATTAGATATTCTTATGTCTGCCAATCATGAGAGGCCCCGGTGAGAGCCTGGGCTGCTTTATCATGTTGATTTTTGCTCCAGGAGGAGATACACACACGCACGCACATATAGGGGGGCGTAAATTCAACCAATACTGGGACCGAGACTATGGGACCACCTCGCCCAGTACGCAGACTCAAGCCTCCTACTCTACTCCCCCTGAGGTCTACTGACAGCGCTGTGGAAAAATCTTCACCCCCTGCACAAATTTCTTCCATTTTGCCTTTTTTGTCACACTTAAAAAGCTTTTTTTTGTCTTTTTTTTTTTACCTCATGAGAGATTACCTGAGTAAATATAAAACAATATTTTCAAATGTTGTTTTCATTTGTCTTGGGAAAACGCCCCTCCGAACCAGGCCCGACTGCCACCATATCAATAAATCCCTCCAATAGAATCAGTCTGACAACATGAAGGAGGCTGAAAATGAACAAATTTATCAACAAGATGAGAGATAAAACCTGTGCAATCCGTCAGTGTGGAAACGTTACAAAGCTGTTTCTAAATCTTTGGGAATCAAAAATCTTTCTCTATATTTGTAGAATCCTTATTTATAAAGGATCTTGGGCAGGAATGGCTGCCCAACCAAAATGTTCCAGTCTGAGCTCTTTTACCATTTCAGGACCTGGTTGACTTGATAAAAAAAAAATAGTTCATAAAACCACAAACTCTTCTTCACCAAGCCAATTGTCCAGCCAACTTTTAAACTCAAGCAGACTTGGTTTAGGTAGCACAACAGCAAGATCATCGCTGAATAACTCAAAAAAGCAGTGTATAACAAAAGGACAAAGTCTGGACCTAAATTTGTCCAAGATGCTGTCAGAGTTGTCATTTCTCGCAGCAGTGTAAAAGCGATGATGGTACTTGCCGGTGAACCAGCGTTTACAGACAATAATTATTTTCACAAAGGGCCAAGTGGGTTTGCAAAGCTTTTCCCTTTAATATCAGCATTTGACAACTTTGGTATTTACTCAGGTTATCTTTCTTAGATTCAGTGAACTCCCGCCTGTTTGTGGGACGGTATTCACTCAATTTTTCAACCCCAATTACTCTGCAAAAAACTGCCTATTTGGAGATTTTTTTCATAGAGTACATCTAACAATTTAAAGAAAATGCAGCTTTGGAAGCGAAAATACCTGGCTGCAATGGTACTTGGTATGTAATTGGCTAGCGTCTGTAAAGCAGCTAACCCAACCTGTATTTTCCTTACAGCTGATTGGTTGAACTCCCAAAAGCAGAAACAGGGAAGACTGTAGATTAGCTTCTGTGACAGTGATTAGGCAGTTCCTGCTGTGCATATGAACACATATTCAGTTACATTTGTTGTTATAATTATTAAATAGTAAGTTGAAAGCGTTCTTAAAGGGGGTCAGAAGTATTTGTGGATTTTAGCTTCCATGGCTGTGGTCCTGAAAGTGGAACAAGTCTCGGGCTTGTGTTACTATCTTATGATCTGAAAGATTTACAAATCAAAGTCAAAACAGAAGAATTCATGAGGGAGCAAAAATCATTTTCACAACCCTTCAGGTGAAACACTGTAAACATGGAATGGAAAAAGTCGCATGGAATGGTTGCAGCCATGCCCAAGCAGACAGTGATTGAGTGTAAAAGCGTGGAAATTCACACAAAACGCACAGGCTCGCATGCTGAGGCTAAAACTCACAGGGGAACGAACGGTTAAACCAAAAGAGAACGAACAAACGAAAACGGGAGTGGCGGCAGTCGGTGGCGTTTATGTCCTCCTCCCACAGGCTGCGGACATAAAGGGGTAACGCACAGCTTGCATGGCACGCCGATAACCATTGAGGGGCACGGAATGAGTCAAAATTTAGAGGAGGAAGGAGAAATAAAAAAATAAAAAAATAGAAGCAAACATTGTACACAGAGGTCTTTCCCCCCCGAGGGAGCTGACACACATCGGAGGAGCTCGAGGCTCTCAAAAAGCTCCAACTGAATGAACAGACAAGCAGTAACACTTAGAGATATGGAAGCGCTGCTGCCTAAACCGGCATGGGCTGTTTAGGTGAGATAGCAACTGGGCCGAGACAGTTGATCTGTCCGATACGCTGGGCTACAAAACACACAAATGACAGGAGTTGGGAGGGTTTTTCTTAGTGCATGTTGGGTAAAAGTTGAATAAATGTTTCTTTTTAAAGATGAAGCAGGATTATCATTGCATGGTAGAGAATTCAGAGGAACCCAGCTTGGGTTCGATTAAAACCAGGGGGAGAATTGTCACACAAATTCTCTGAATAAGGAGCAGTTTTGGGAGGGGCGGGAGGGGGTTGTTCACAGGTGCCCTGATTGTAAATGTAACAACACAGCATGCAGCTCAACTCGATTCTCCCCCCCACCCCACTCTCCACCGCCTACAAACCTCTCATTTCCACCCTCTGAGGAAGACAAACAGCCATTCCACGGCGCGGAACCGGCCCAGCGTTCCAGTTCGACGGGACCGTCAAACAGATCTTTTATATATATATATTTCTAGCATCTGGTTATGATACGCATCTATTTCTGCACAAGATTGGATTTTGTACACAAAAGCTGGCCCGTCTAATGTTCTGTGTAATTACAGATGACTTCGGTCGACCAATCTGCTGCTTTCAAGTCTTCAGGATTCTGGGGTACCACCGGCCTCATGATCATGACAAAAAGGTTTATTTTTGAGCCCATTTCCCTGCTATACCACACTGCACCAGTATCACACCCCAAGAACCTTTTCAGTTGTCACATTGCAGACATAAACCCTCCCTGTATTTATTATATGCCTTTTACACGATGGGCTAAGAAAAAGTAGTGCCAAATGACAAGTTTGCGTGACGTTCTATGCAGATGACATCAGGATTACTCAACCCGGGTGAAGAGTGTCCGTGGACATCAGTTTTCAACTCACAGAAGTTTGGACTATGACTTTAAAACATGTTTGATCTAAACCAGATCAAACATGATCAAACATTTTGACCAATTTTCACCCATAAAACGTAGTTACTATTCAAATGAATTGTTACAACCTATTGAACTTCTGAAACCAAACGGGTTCAAAACAGAAAACTATTAAATAAAACCAGTCATCCTTTTGGAGCTAGATTTTAAAAACAGCTGGTTTCTTCATCAGTTGTGCTGATAGTTTACAGCCTCCACTATGAAGGGATCCTTGAGCAAAACCACGGCATTGCAGCTTTGGCTGGACGTTTAGGGATGATGTTCCGCTAAAAGGAGAATCTCTCAGGTCTTTAGCAATTTCTAAAAAGATTGATGATTGTCTGGCGTTTAGCTCCAATTATCTTCAGCTTCCTGCAACTTCCCTTCCCATTCACCATTATGCACTATTTCATGTCATTCTTAAGTAAAATGCATTGAGGTTTTTAGCCGCTCTGTGACAAAATGTGACATAGTTCGAGGGGTGCGAATACTTTTGCAAACTCCTGTGCTGCAACCTTTGTACTCCCTTCGTGAGGGTCCTAAAGAGAGGTTTGTAAGCAGTAAAGCAAGAAAAAAAAACATAAAAAAAGGTAAATAATAAGAATGAAAACACCTACAGTCATGAAATGGCGTTTGGGAACGTCATAGATCCCTTCCTTCTGCTGACTGGTTGGGACCTGCGTTAGATCGGATGTCGATTGATATGGAAGTCAACAGATCAACACCTTTTACTTTCTCTTCGCTGGCTAAGTATTTCAATACAGGAGTGTGAAAAAATAAAGGAAGAAAAAAGGAAGAAAGAAAACATGTCTATTAAAGTAGAAAAAAAAGTTAACTCAATCAATTTCCATCCAGGTTAATAATTTAGATGCACTTATCTTTTGGCAGCGCAGGATTATGCAAATTCTACAGTTGTGCCGCCGGATCAATTCTGCTTAAATCGATATCGATTGCAAACAAAGCTTAAAGGAGGTTCAGTGTGTATTAAGAAAGCCTATTGTTATTCGACAAGCGTCTGCGTTGTCTCATTTGATGATATGAAAATGCCTTGGCTCCGGCGTTTCTCTCTTATTTATTTTTTTTCTTCACAGCTATCCAAGATGTCTGCTGGTTCTTAACCCTGCTGCTCGCCTCCTCATCTGCTACCTCAACTGGTTAGCTTTCAGTTATGTTCCCCCAAAGCCTATTGATCTTGTTTCACTCTGAGATCAAATGGCATGGCAAGTGATTAATCTCTCTCTTTCTCCATCTGCAACTTTCATCTTTGGAGAGGCAGAAACAGGAGGAGGAAAAGGGAGACCGGGGGAACAGGGCGGGTGGAGGCTGGTATTAACCCGTTCCACGCGTCCCTGGAGTTCTAATCTGGTCCTTCAAGTGGTCCACAATCAAAAGGTCGTGGTGTCGTCTGTTGAAGAAGACCTTGGTGCACATAGGCAATGGGTGAATTCAAATTGAACATCTCACCTCGGCACCTTGAAAACGGCTTTTGGTGCAATTTGGCATAGAGCGCGCATTTGCCCCGAAGCAAATTTCTTTTTTCATTTTTGCTCTCGTTCGCTAAAAGTGTTTCGATCAACGCATTCAAGTATCAGACAACAATAACATAAACACAAACTGGAGTTTCTGTTTAATATGGGAAAAGGCTATCCAAACCAACAAGGCCATTTGGGAAAAGTATTTGCACCGTGAAAGTAATAACTTGACATTTTATTAACTGGGAAGGAGTCTTTAAGCCCACGGTGAAGGAATTGGACCCACTTTTCTCTGAAGAATTTTTCTTGATTTTTAAAAAAAATTCAGCCACTTTGGTGGCTATTTTTTATTAATGAGGGCCACATTGAAGTAAAATAAAATTACGAGAGTTAAATCATATGAGAATAAAACCATAATGTTTCATCCTAATGCCACAAATTTACTTTTGTATTATTTGTACTTTATTTTCCCTCAGCTTTATGACTTCATCCTCGTAATTTGTTACCGGTTTTAGTTTCAATTTCTTAGCATGGCTCTAACAGTAACGCGTCTTATTTTTGAGCCTGAGCAGCATTTTCAAAGTCACGTCAAAACATCTCAGTAGAACTTGAATCCGGGTGTGACTGGACTTTCAGACTTTTTCAGTCATTCAGTAGTGGACTCGGTGGTGTGATGTGGATCACTGTCTTTCTGCATGAAGTCATAGTTCAGGTCTTACTACTTCATGTTGTTAGACTGAAGTGGTCAATTCAATTAAATTCAATTAAAGTCATTTCTCTATCCTGCAGGTCTGGCATTGATGAGTATCCATTCTGGTTTGGATGGCTTTCCCCCCTTTTAATAAATTAAATCAACATTTGAAAACCGCCTTTTGTGTTTAGGTTATCCGTGTTTGATTTAAATTCTTTCTGGATGATTTGAAATGACAAAAAAAACAAAACAAAAAAAACACACAAAAAAAAGGCAAAAGCCGACGAGATCTCCAAAGAGGAAAAAGCCTTTTTAAAAAAGCTCTGAAGTATTTCATCGTATTATTTAAACTTTCTGTCTTACTCAATCTTGTGAAATCACGAGATCTAAAGCGTCGCCTTTCTAAGTGTCACTGGAGTCTACTGCTCAAGTCTTATCTTTTTTTTTTTTTTTTTTTTAAATTAAAATTCATATGAAACAAAAAAAAAACTTTTCTCCAAATACAGTTAACACACTGGAGCTTCCTTCATGTCAGCGCCATACCATAAATACTGCTATCTTTTTACTTATAAGGAATGAAGAGGGAAGAAAAAAAAAGAAAAGTGGGGCAAAACTTGTCTTTGTACCTGATAAACGCTCTCCTCTGACTGGGGGCCACGGAGGGGTTCGTGTCCAGCCTCAAACACTATGTACTACAGAACAGAATCAGTGGGCAAGGCATAGAGATGCAGAAAATAATAAAAAGGAAGGACAGAGAGAGAGAGAGTGAGTGAGAAAAGGAGGAGAAGATGGCATATAAAACAGAGAGATAGAGGTGTGGAGACATGAGCAGAATAAGTGGAAGCACAAGGGAGCGGGGATGGTGTTGAGTGGAGGAGGGTGGGGGGGGACAAGATCAGGGGAAGGGAGAGTGTGAAAAATGGGGCATGGGAAAGAGGAAGGGAGAAAAGAAAGGAAAAAAATAGAGTGAGGTGGGAAGAGGAAAGAGCACAAGTATAACAGGTCAGGCAGTAGTTCAAGGCAATGTGGAGGTCTTAGCTGAAGGTTAGCCTTCCACCTCAGCAGCGTCAAACTCCACTTCCAGTGTAGAAATTGCTTCAGATTTTTGTCTAAAAATGTGTCACAGCTGTAAATCCACCGGAACTGATGCAGAAATGAAATGTAAAAGAACATTTGGTTGACATTTTGGGAGTTATTGGTAACGGATGGATGAAACCACCAAAAAAAAACGTATCCCTTTTCAAATACTGCAGCTGATAGATTTACTTCACTAAAGAGCTAGCATCTTTGCGTTGAAAGGTTGCTAATCTGTTTGCCTCAGAAGACTGAATTTGGGTGGCGGCAAGATATGAGAAGCTACTTCCTTCTAAAGATTGTTTTTTATAAAATGATTATGTCCAATTTGTTCCGAAAAAAAAGTACAAATTATTGTTTAAAGTACTGTAGATGAAACGAGCTGGAAGGACACTTAGCTCAAAAAACGAGCTAGCATCTTTGCGCTAACAGGTGGCTAACCTACCGTAATGTTCTGTTTGTTGGGAATTTATAATCTTGTTTTTTTTTTTAAGTGGTAGAAACCAAGGACTGGGTTTGCCTTTGAACAAAACAATGATCGCTAGTTTGTCATATAACATTGTTCGCTGTGCTCTCCTTGATTAAATAAACTAAAATTTAATTTAATTAAAATTTAGAAAACGTAAAAGTGCATTTTTATGATTCAAACATTAGACTCACACTTTCACAAGCTGATGGCTCTAAAATAATTTAGCAAAATGCAGAAAGGTAATTTGTCAGTATAGTTATCGCACACGGCAGCCATACTGAATTTTGGGATAGCGATTTGGGAGAAGCCATCAAATCTTTCCGAAATGGAATCAGAAAATTCCAGCTTCTCAGTAATAATTGAATGCAGCATCCATCCAGCTCCGGATTTCCTGCGCACCCACTGGAATGGACTTAAGAAAATCTCTAACAAAACATATATCCCAAAATGCCAAAGGTTCTGTCCACAGTCAGGCGTTTTGTCAACCAGCATCAACAAAAATCGAAAGCTACAAATGGGAATGACATCATGTAAAAACACACATCAAGAGCAAAGACCGGAGGTGTTCTGGGGGGGAGGTGGGGCGTTTGGACGAACCACTGAACATGGCATTCAGAGTAAGAGTTAGTGTTGTCTGTATTCAGTGTGAGCAAACACAGAGAGAAAAAAAACAACAACAACAAAAAAAAAGAAGTCATGTTGAGCCAAATAAATACAGGGCAAAAAATCGTGGGGGCGGGATAACATCCAGTGGAAGGGGGGCATGTCTTTGGAGGAAAATCCGAACACTGACACAGATTCACTCAGAAAATATGGTTGTACAACACTGCACTGGCAAAATGGGAGTTGGATGGTTGAAGATAACTGTTCACTAGGATGGTCTACTGTGTATTACTGAATGGTGCAATATTATGAAATATTAATTCAAGCAGATCAGTGGCTGGAGAAAGAAGCAATATATTAAAGTTCGGTTTTGTTTTTCCCCCCCAATTCAATGTGTTTTATTCCAGTGAAGCTAGAAAAGCAGTCCAGTGTTCTGGGTCTAATCGTAGCGCCGTCTCACCTACCTGGTACACCGGGTCATCCACTTCGTCCTCGAGGATGGTCTGCGATTGAGGAAGAGGGCAGATGACACATTTTGTTTTTCAGTTTTATTAAAAAAAGGCTAAAAAACCTCCAACAAAACAACCCAAGTCTATCCAATCACAGTTCACAACAACACAGGGTTGCATGATTAAAGTGAGAAAAAAAAATCAGTTGATTACATGCAGATTTTCTGTGCGTTAAGTGGATAATGTGTAGAAACTCGATGCAGAGGAAAAGTGGAAATCAGAGCCTTACCTGGTAGACGGCCTGCTCACAGTGTTTGTCCTTCTGAGCCTTCTTCTCCATCTCCTCCCGCTGTTTGATGTCATAAATCAGGGTAAAGAGGTCACGCAGGTCAAGGATCAGGGGCTCCGCCTGAAAGCAGGAATTAGACGATTGGTTGGTGAAAACATCCTAAAAGCTGAGAAACTATTCTTGAAAGAATACAGCAGGTAAAACCTAAATAAAATAAAAACGTTCCCCTTTTTCTTTGATAAATGCACCAATGTTACAAATTACACAAGTTTTTTGTTTTATTCAACCATGCAAGAAATGCATTCCTACTGACGATCCAATGATCTTCCGACTGTTGGTCGGAGGAAAACTACGTCTTCCCCCGCTTTACAATCAGGCACCGTCTTGAGTTGGTCTATGAGATCCTGATATAATACCTGAAAAGCTGTGTATTAATCCGTAATCCACAAAAAGCGGCATATTTTCACCTGCACTTTATACATTTGCTCTACAAACTACACAAACTTTCACTTTTCGGTTTTGGTACCAGAACTTACAGACTGCGCAGTCTTGATGGCCACAAACCGGTGGTGGCCCTCCTTCCCGCAGACGTACCCAAAGGCCCGGTGGTCCCTGGTGTCCTTTGCGATGTAGCTGATCTCATGGACTGAGTGGTGATGCAGAAGCACCTGAACGACAGGAAGGCAGGGCGATCAACGCAGGTGACATCTTCTCCTGTTCAGAGCTTGCATTCTGTCTTTTGAAAGCGTGACACAGAGCTGTGCTCTTTGTTGCCATCCAAAGTAGGTCAGACCCACTTTAAACATCTTTGCATGCAGCTGAACAATTTAGAGGGAAGAAACTTCCAAGTCTGTACTGTGACGGCGTTCTGCAGCGCGGAACGGAGTTGCATAACCCGGATTGCGTAATGTTTGTGCTGCCGTGTAACATCAAAAGCAAAATACCTAAATGAGGGAGCAGAGGATATCCTGAAAGAGAACACCTTCATGCACAAAGGATAGTGATTCGGCTGTCAGTGAGGCACACCCATCTGCTGCTGCTCCATTAGACAGGATGAGCTTAAGCACCGGGAGGAGCTTTCATTTCAACGTTTGCCCGGGTTTCTTTTCGTGGGGGACTGTTGCCGGTAATGCTCCAGATTAATGTTAAATACAAAACTAATACGACAAGTGCGCTTCCATGCGCCACAGAATCATGTCGGCTTTACTGAAAGCATTTGGGTCTAAATGCTCGCCGACTGTACGCCGTGGTTATCCCCCTCTCCCCGTTTCCACCTAAACAGCCCACAGAGGCGTATTAAGCGCAGGGTTACTTACTGCCGTGTAATCGGTAAATACAACGTGCCGCATTAGGGGGGCACGGCTTCCAAAACAACAAATGAGGCTATCGGAACAGGGCGAGCTCTCAGGTCGTGGCGAGAAGCTAAACGCTCTTTTTTCACTTCAGGATTAACAAAGTCAGACTGGAAAGAGGAACAATCTTGGGGTGGTCGGGTGGGAGCCGGCAGCCTGCAAGACAATCCCTGCTGCCCAATTATCATTTCAGCACTAAAGACAGCTGAGGTGGAGCTATGTGTAATTAGCATTAGCAGCAATGATCATTAAGGGGTGGAACTGAGAGCTAATTAGCGGTTAGCGCTGATGAGCCAAGGGGGCCCATTGCGCCGCGGGACGGAGGGGAAAAATCCGAGCCCCTGGATCATCCTGTAATGAAGCAGCGATGCTCCAAACCCGCCTGGAGATAAGGTGTGAGCGGACGAGATTTACGTACACATCTCATGGACCAGAACTTCAGATTATTTTGGCCTTTCAGTGACATATTTGAAGCATGTCTTTTCCAGAGGGCAGTCATAACACAACATAGAACTTCAGTGGGCTTATAAAAACAAAAATAAGGTTGAATCTGTTGGGTGGAAATGGTGACAGAGTGTCTACCCAACCTTAAAAGGTCTGAAATTTATGCATTTAAAACAATCTAGTTTCCCTTTGGGATCATAAAAGTGTTCATGAATTGTTACTTGAAGGTCTTAAAATGTTTTAAATCAATTTAAATACATGCAGGTTGGCCTAAAATACAAAAATACATTAATCACAGGTCTTAAATTTTGTCATGTCAGAAATACACACACACATATATATATATATACTAATATAATATTTTCTGTCAGGCTAAAGGTTGAGTTGCCCCCACACATGTTCTGTGTATCGAGGTGAGTGAGGTTACCGTAAGTAGCTGGTAAGCTAGCTAGGTTTTTTAAGTCCATCATGGATAGGTGCATATTTACTTTCTTTTGAACATAGAGGTCTTACATCTATGTCATCACGGTCTTTGAAAGCCTTAATTTTGAGTTGGTGAAGCCTGCAGAAATCCTGTGTGAACCCAGGTTCAAATATATACTCTCACCACTACTTAGATAAACATTTTAGCAGAAATGAAAAACATCCTGGTACAATTATGGCTGAATGACCCAGAAGCAACAAATGTGCAGTCGGAAAGTCCGTTTAAACATGGCTTTTAAACATGATTAAAAGCCAGGCTCAACAAATGTGAGCCTGGCTGAAGCAACAAATGTGTTGCTTCTGGTATGAGTCTGGCTTTTAATCATGTTCAACAAGGTTTTAACTCTGGAGAAGGCCAATTAAAGTTTGTCTGGGTCATCCTTTCAAAAACCAGAATACGCATTTGGTCTCTAAGTCCTGTGAAAACTCCCAATTGCATCAAAGTCTCACCTAAGTTGTCAAGCTGAGATGAGAGGAAACTGGTCATTATGTCTAATAAAAATAAATAACAACCAGAACTTAAGTCTGTCATCTGTTGGAACACCAATCTAAACGTCACATCTCCATAGATGAGTCAACTCTCTTGCAGAAAAAACTAATGGCTAAGCAAGAAAGAGGTTGAACTGTTCGGCCAAAGTGAGGCTTTCAAACCTAAGAAGTTTGTGCCAGCTGTTAACATGGTGACAGTGGTGTCATGCTGAGGGTCTAAATCAGTGACAGTGGTACTGACACACCGTGCTGTGGGGCTGGAATAAGAAAATAGGAGGATTAGCTAAATGGACTTTCCGACTGCAAGACGATGACTCTTTCCATTGAGTCACAGTCATCCTCAATTTCCTCTCCACGATAAACACCAGCTTGTTCAACTAGGAGTCCAACAATTCATATTCACCATCAAAAACCCAGAATGAATACATCATTCACCCTGACCGCAGCCCTAAAAGTCAAGCTTCTTAACTTGGGGCAATGTTATCAAGAGTTTCAATATTTAATAAACTAAATGTCAAACTGCCTTCTGAGTAACTCGAGAGAGCTCGATTTCAATTGTGACTGGGAGAATATTTAACGTTTTGATCAATGCGCAGACCGAAACATAACAGCGTTTTGGCCGTTCAGTCGTCTAAGATGGCGGCCCAGGAAGGCAGCTGTTGTGAAGTGAGCCGTGCCCTCTGGACGTCCTCACGCTGGCAGCAGCTGGCCGCGTCCTGGCAGCCTCCGCGTTGACGCGCTACTCACCCCCGATCTCTCGCAGTAAATCTTTATCCCGCCGAACGAGACGGTCAAGAAGACCCTCTGCTTGTGCTCCCCCTTGGAGCGTGCAGACGAAGCCATTCCCTGCAGGGAGCAGAAGGAGAAGTCATGTAGGCGGAGATAGTCGGCCTTATTCTAAGGTGAGAGTGGGGCGACTTTTGACTGGTGGGAGGTTCACAAAAGACGGGATTCATGTGATGTGAAGGATTGGGGTTGGGGTGGCGGGAGATGCATAAGGGTGAGATAGGACAGGATGTTCTTTTATCTGCCTTTTTCATGAAGGTTCTCTCTCAGAGGGAATCTCACTTCAACTTGAGCGGTGAATCACATTACATTAGGTGTTCTGCGCTTTGACGTGATAAAAACACAAGCACCACCTACTGACGGTAAGGTTAGATTTGCTGACTGAATGGATAGCGCCGCTGCCCGACCAGCAACTTCACACGTACTGCTGACTGAACAACCACTGCAGCCTTTGAAGTATGATTTTCCCATGGATCTGCAGCCGCACTCTGTATTTTTCTCCCCCTCTTTCTCCTACACTCTCTCGCGCCCCGATAAAGAAAACAATTAAAATTTTCACCGTGTTCCGTTTGATGCAACCTGTGAGCTTGACATGCCTTTCATTGAACAACGCCCGAGAGAAAAATGGTCGGAAGAAGAAAGGAAAAGCGGGGAGATGATAAGAGAAGAAAGACTTTGCCTTGTGTGCAGAGGCTACGGCTGACAAGGCAGCAGGTTCGGTTTAGGGGTGGAAAAAAAAAAAGCTTGACCCCCTCTGTGCAGCAGAGCATTTCTACTTCCAAATTTCTCCTTGAAAGCTTTTTGAATATTGCGGACATTTTTAAAAAAAAGTTAAAGGTTTTGACATTTGGATGAGTCGAGCTCCCAAAATTAACCAAATCCATACCAATTTTATTGATAAAGTGCATCTAAAAACAACCTGTTGCTTAACATATGGCTACAGATCACTGAGGTTTGGAGGAGTGTTCACCTCGGTTTTCTTTTTGCTAAAGCTTGAAAAATGTATGGTTTGTTTGTTGAGGCTAGAGTTTCTCCAATCATACCTCTACAGTTACCAAATAAATAAGTAGCAAATAGTCACTTTTTGTTGTCATCACAATAGTACCACAAAATATTGAGATAAAACTTGGAGTCCGTATCGCCCAACCCTACTCAAAAAGCAGCAAAAAGTGGTTCTGCAAACTATTGAATCCCGGCTGCTCAACATGAAAGTGCACCGTGCTGCTACATGTTTAATAGTAAAACCTTGCAAACTCTACGTAACATTTTTAAAATTCATTTCAGAAGGAATGAACGCTCTTGAACGGTCTTCTCTTGGGAAACCGGTGAGCTGGGACGATATGATACAAGAAAAACATTTTAAAAAAGAAGGAAGGAAGGATCGTGAGCCGAGTAAGCAGCGAGAGAGACAGAGGTAGGTGGGCACAAGAGCCGAGGGGTGTTGTCAGTCAGCCATCGGCTTTTCCATTCTGTGGATTAGTCCCAGTGGCAACGAGAGGCAGTTCAATACAGACCTGTTCCCTCCTCCGTCCCCTGTCCAGATAATAGCAGGTCTGTATCGACCGCTCCATTGACTGTAACTGGCCTCTGGCTTGTGACTGCCGGAGTTATATGGAGGCCACTGCTGAAATGTCAGATCAAGGCAGCAAAAAGTTGTTTAATTGGACATATCCCCCGGGATGGGATGTGGGTGAAGGTTTGCCTTCTGGCTGTACTGCCTCTCCTTTGGGGCTTCCCACACATTTAAGTTCTAGAAAAGCCAGTGGGGGGGAAACATAAAGAAGCCACGCATAAGAGTCTTCTTTGCAAGAGCAATTTATCCAACCAGTCTCCTGCAAAGAGGCTCATGTGCGGCTTTCCATAAATCCCACCCTGCCTTCCTCCTCCAGAATCACCGGTTGAAATCGTTTCAGTGTCTTTTTCCAGTGAGAAATCATATTTTATTCATCAAGTCTCCTGCATGGATCAATCTGAGACCTAACTCAGAGCAGAGCTCAACTAAATAGACATTAAGAGATTAGTCTTTAGAGTCCAACTCCAGCCCCAAATTCTTTTAAATAACGCAGGTTTTATTGGGGAGCTCAGTGGGAATCAATCGGGAGGTAAAAACAGGTCATATTTAACATGTTTATTAGGTTTTTATGGTCAGTCAGAGTAAGGTAAACCTATGGTAAACTTGACCACATTAAAGGACTGTAACTTTACTGTAGATGGTGGTGTTATTATTGCACTCAGTTACTTACATTGTCTAAGCATATTTAAAATTAAGATATACGGTATAACCATCCTATAAGTATCTGTTTCAAAAGTAAAACGGTAGCTGCGTTTCCATTAGCCATAAAGTTGTACATAAAAAACATTAATAAATAAACAAATTTAAAAAAAACTTGTTTTTGGATGAGTCTTTTTTCTAGGACCAGGTTGTTTTTCAGCCATATCAAAGTAGATGCATTTCGCAAAACTGCAGTAGATTTATTTATTTTTTTCACATTAGCATAATATAAATATTTTCGCAAATTTGCAATGGAAACATCCAACATTCCAGCAACATAAGTGAAGTCCAAAGCAATCCTTTTTCCAATTTTTTTTGCCCTCCTGTCAGAAACGATTCTACAAAGTTGAGATACTGACAGCTCATAACTGCATTCTTATCATTATTATTATTTTAATAATATAACATTTTTCCCACAGGAGAAGCTTCAGGGAAGCTTTGTGTGTAATCTCAATACTGTACTGTATTTTCCTGCCAGCCCTGGATGCCGGTACCGCCCGGTCAGTTCTGTATTGATTATTCCCAGATGAACGATGACATGATCATAGATGGCATCATCTCTGCAGGAGTGACTGACTCTCCTTTAATAAGCGAATATTATCAGTCAACATACTCTAATCTGAGATTTTTATTTTTCGTTTTCATAAGCTTGTCAGTTATGACAGCGTTTATATGCGCTCCTGATCTGACTTGGACATCAGATCAAAGATTCTCCTGGCTTGTTTTATACCCAGTAATTTAGATTAAAAAATAAAATAAAAAATTCTCAGACCAAGAGAAAATTGTTCATCGGTTAATGGAGTCACCCTGCTGCCATGTGGAAAATTTGAACATTCATGACTGTAATTTTCAGAGATGCACAAACAAATTGGTCGCTGACTGGAACTGGACGGTTTTCCACATGATCGGAGACCGGCCGGCTGAAAGCTAAAAAACGCCGTCTTTTTCTACTCCGTGCACGCAAAACACCTGAAGTCTAACAGGCTGTGCTCAAACCGAGCCACTCTGTGTGGAAGTTGTTACCGAGGGAAGGGGTATGAACAAAGTGTTGAAGACGAATGCAGAAACAGCACAAATGGTGTGAGAAGCTTCTAGGGAAAAAAACTGTATTCTGTATGGATGTTCATTTTCCATTTGGTGGCTCCAGTTTTATCTATCAATCAATGCTAACTTCACAAACTGTGACACTCCTGCTAATCATGCTCAACTCCAATAAAAGACACTAAAGAGAGTTTTAGTGTCCTCTCATTTTGTCCTCAAGTTTTTGAAAATTGTGTTTCACTGCGGAGCTGCTTAACACCAAGAGCTCTGTCTCTAAAAATGCGGCGTTGCCATCTTGAGATATTTCTACACACAATGAGGCGTGAATAAATCATTCAGTGATTGTTTTTATGTCTTTGTTGGAGCGGTACAATGAAATGTTGCTCAATTTGTCCATTTTTAAGTGCAGTTGAATGACAATATACTCTAAGCCTAAGTTAAAGTCAAACAACAATTTAACCCAGCTGTAAATCTGAACTTTGTACATCTGAAATGGTGCAAAAAAAAAAAACAAGAAAAAAAAATCAAGAAAATGACCACAAAATCAACAATCAGTTCATCTATAAATATAAAGATTTGTGTAACAAACAAGATACAAAATGCTATAGAGCCACCTGCAACATTTCTTTTGTCGTTGGTAGAATATTTTCCTAAACCTGTTATTAGTTAGATCAAGGTGCTCCAAGTGAGTCACATGGTTAAAATCTGACACTATCTCCTATAATTTCTTTCTCTTTCATTTAACTTTTAATTCCTTTTCGGTGTGGCTTAGAAAAAAAACAAAACATCTTGTTTACACTGCTAAGCACGCGCTTCTTATATGTTTAAAAAGCAAATGCACAACCACTTGCACTGCTTCTTACCATGGGGCTGGATTTGACCTGATTCACTTTGCAACAATCTGCAAAGAACACTAGCCTGCTATGTTATCTGGGTCATGTTATCGCAGTTCGCACATGTGCCACAAGTGGAACAGCACGGACTTTGTTGTAAAAATAGCAGTCAGTGAGTGACACGAGAAAACACGGAGGAGACAGACTAATTGGGGGTTAGTTGGGGGAAGCTGGGGCTTCGGGGGTTATAAGGGGTGAGGGTGTTGGGGGGGGATTTTTCTACTTAAGTCATACACAGCTCAAAGCGTCTCAGGATGCGGAGCCAGTTTGCCTTGGAGGTCACAAAACGATATATTTGTGCGAATTAATGCAAAGGGCTTTGAGCTGTACTAAACTTAAAACAGCTAACTAGAGGAGGACTGAAGTGAAGGGACGCCACGATTCGGTGAACCTCAGTAGCAGCTTGGTTCATTTTTCTTTATGCTTCAAAGAAAACAAAGAATTGATATAGTTGGACCTTCCTGTGTTCCAGCAGGTCAGTCATCCAGTTTCTGTGAGTCACACAGGAGAGGACAGCTCCCATGACTCACTCAAAAGACAATACAGTCACGCTCGAGCAAGCCTTTTCCAAATCAGACCGAGATGATGAGAACCTCAATGACACACACACACACACACACACACGCACACGCACATGCACACGCACACACACATGCACACGCAAACAGAGGAAGAGAGAGAGAGAGAGAGAAAGGTAAACCCAGAGAAGTTTTCACCTTCAGCTTCATCATGGAGTCCTGGCACAGCTTGTCCCCTCGCGCGGCTGTCACCTCATCAATCCCAATCAGCTTGGCCTTGTAGCGCACGCCATCTCCACGGAAACGCTTAATAAGCCCCGCCTCCGTGCGGTCCTGACCTGCAGTGAAACAGTGAGGGAGTCAAAAAAAAAAAAGAGGAAGAAAATCCCAGAGACAAAGATCAGAAAATGAAGCTGAGGGAGTGAATACTGGAAATTAGGATGTGTGAGCTCACTTCAATTTCGACGGCGTTTGGTATCACGCCACGTTGGCACTAACATACTGTGTATATGCATGCGTGTGCTTGTGTGTGTTCACTTGTATAAATATTTATGGAATAGGAAATGCAGAGTGAATAGCAAATTAAATGCGACGAGAGAAAAGATTGAAGCTAAAATTGGAATGAAGTTGGGTGAAGCGGGTGGACCAAATAGGAAAATGCCGGGAAACGCTGACACTACCACGAGCTATTATATCACTCAGTTAGGCATTCAAAAACAAAACAAAGCAAAAAAACGGAGGCTGAGGGGGATTATGTTGGGGGTGTACTCGCTCCTTTCCTGAACCCATGTCCCGCGGTTCCCATGGGTGCTATTGCTGGTGACAAACCAGGCTGACTGGTTCCTATTGAGAGGAATTATCTCGGTCCAACGCTCACCCACAATCCGCCGAAGCCCTCCCCACGAGACGGATGTCGAGTGGCGGTGGCACGTCGGCGGTGGGAAGGGGAGGGGTGTCATGAGTGTGTGGCTGTATGGCCTAAGGCTTTCCACCGACATCCTCTCCACCTCGGCGCTGAATATTCTGTCTCCGCGGCCGTCCTGACATCTCCTTGACACCGACACCTTTTTTCCCATTTTGTCACCGCGCAGTCTGCCGACGCGCCGTTTTGATTACATGTGGAGGCGAGCCTCGGGTGCTATCTCGCCCGTCAAAAATGTATACCAACCCCTCATAAAGTCGAATGGGAGTAGGGGGGTAAAAAACAGGTCGTCACACAGGGAGACGACGGAATTTCAAATCAAGGACACGAGCAGCACCTTGGAGAATTTTAACAATTTAGGCCCCTTCCTCTCTCAAAATCTAGGTCACGAGACCATCCTGTACATCAGTTAGCATCGGCCTTAAAGAGGCTCCCTAATCCGTGCACTTGAAGTTGACAAGGTAGAACATCCTCAGCAGCAACTCTCGGGCTCCGCTCCAACACTGCGTTACACCAAAATGAGCTTATTCCACCCAAAACTGACTTTATTTTCAACTATGTCGCATCAAATCGTTGGGAATTTCTTCTTCCAAGCCGCACAATTTTCCAAAAGGAAAATCAGAAAATAGGTCAGAGCAAATTAAAGAGCTTGTGCAAAATGGAGGAAGAGACAGAGAAAAAAAAAGAAACAGTTCAAGTGCATGTCTTGGTTCTGCAATCCTCTCACTTATTCATGAGACCACAATCCTCAACAGATGGGGGAGGGTTTGATGATGGCTCAGTCATTACGGTCTCTAAGTGAACGTCAAATCTGGGCCTGATTCAGCGTCGCTCCTCTGTTCTGTACTCATCCAGCGGATCGATACTGACTGCTCCTGTTCATCCTTTCTTCCATCTCATTTTAAAAAAAAAAGCCTTTGTTTTGTCTGAGGGAAAGGCTGTTTCTGTGCCAAAATTATCTTCTGGATTTCTGACCTAAAGTTTCTAGCTTGGCTATTTTGAAACAGTAACAAACTCTCCAATTAGGTCTTGGTGAGGGAGGCCTGCATGCTTTCTTTGGGAGAAGATGCGTCTACCTCGGACTTCTAGTGTAGATGTGCTGGGAACACAAAGAGTCGTGGTCACATCTGGAGCACAATTAGTACTTATTCCAAATTGCCGCAGCTCTCAAGAGTCTTGGAAGATTTCCGCACGGTGGTTTCATCAATTTTGGAAAGTAACATCCACCTTTTGCCTATTTGGTACAGGAATCTGCATTATAAGCAGTGATGTTAGTACAAAGTTACAAAGTAATGCATTACTGATGTCGGACCAGGTTTTCAGTAACGAGTAATCTAACGTGTTGCTATTTCAAATCCAGTAGTCAGAGTACAGTGACTTATGGATATCACTTTGTGTTACTATTTTCTTTTGTAATTTAATTGTCTTTTCTCTGTGCGACTTGGGGAGTAATTATGCCATCACAGATTATAAGCCTGGCAGGCCACCAGGGTTTACATGGGCCCCACCAGGCTAAGCATAGTTTATTTTAAATACACCAGTATAAAAAACCTATTTTTTTATATTCCAGTAGCAGTGACAGCATTGATGGATTAAGCGAGGTCTACAGTTGATGTGATGGACTGGGTGGAAGGTGGTGCCCACCAATTGCGTTGTCCTTCCTACCTGTTGGCCTCACACGCTGTTATTTCCAAATTCGGATCCCTGTTCATACACCATCAAATTTTGGTAACTGTTGCCATTTTCTTTTTTTAACACAAACACAGAGGGCCCCTGCAGAGGACTGCAGAGGCATAGCATCCCTAACACCGGGCCTAGCAGCTTTTCGAGGGGATAATCTGAGGAATATTTTGTTCGCATCTCCTGACTGATACCTTTTAATAGTTGCATTATCATTATCTTTTGTAACCTCTCTGGAAACTCTGACATTAGGCAGCAGAGGATGCAAATGTCAATCAAATACTGAGTAGGATGGCCAAAGTTTATCTCTGGTTCAACAAATGAGGTGAAAACTGAATATGCCTGAATGTTGAAGTTCAATCTAAAAGTCTTTCAAGAAGATATTAGTTTACAGGGTGTCCAGACTTGCAGCAAATGTATAGCAGCTTTTTTATTATTCTTTGAGTTTTTCCCCTGTACAGATTTTTCCCCCAGTTGAATTGTACTGGACATGCGTTGCATCAATCATGGGATGCAATCTTCATTATTTATGAAGATCTCGAAACCTGGAATTTTAACAGGGTGGACTTTTGAGAACCGCGGGTACGTCGAGCCTCCGCCATGCATTCAGCAGCCCGGGTCGGACGCTCAGGATCCATCAACGGCCTGAATTAGAAGAAGAGCAGCAGGCGCTCGGGAAACGTTTCTGCTGCGATGATCGCTGTTGTTCAAACCAGCCCTCCCGCTGTATCTACAGTCTATTCACACGCCGTTGTGTGCTCTCTCGCCTGATCTTCCTGACTCACTCGCTCTGTAATGTAATGCAAAATGCATGCTGCTCCACTTGCATTTTAAACACAATCGGCCCAATTCAGCGCCGCTCTCTCTGGATGAGCTCTAACCAGATGCTCTGTGCCATTTTGTTTCTTTACATGCAAGCATGCCTTTCACTCATCCCGCCCTCCACCCGCCAAATCATACTTATGGAGAGATTTTGAGGTTTACGCACAGATAGATGATCATGAAATAAAAAAGAAAGAAAAGCAGGTCTTGCACGTCTCGAGTCGGCGCATGGCGTAACTCGTGTGCTACGTGCTCCGGGTTCAGATCGAGAAGAGTGAGCGTGCTGTATTTTGAAAACTAAAGAGCTGAGGGGCATGCTGTTTCATGTTGTTGCACTCTGTCAGATCGAAGAGGTGAGGGGCAGAAGGTGTGTGTTTGTGTATGAGCGCTCGTGAAGAGAGGCGACACACACGTTTTCTTCTGGAAGGCCAGAGCTGAACGGCCCTCACAATGATTTTGTTAGTGAAGAAAGAGTCTGGAGATTTGTCTGACAAAGAGTTGCCTGCTGCGAGCAACGCGCACGACGCCGGCGGTCAGAGTCCTGCTGTTCTGATGTGCATGCACAGGGCAAAAATATTCATACCCCAGCTTTTCGGTGTTGCTTGTTTTAAATTTTGTTTTTTACATTTATTCATAATGCAAACCGAAACGTCAGCACGTTTCATTGGGATTCTATGTGATGCACCAGAACAGAGGACTTTTACATTTAAACCTTAAAAGTGTGATGTGATTTCTTTTTTTTTTTTTTTTTTTTTTTGTCATTTCATTTGTATTTCTATGTTGGGGAGCATCTCTCCCAGTTTGGGACGTCTGGGTTCCCATTCTTTTTACAGTACATTATAAGCTCAGTGAAACTGGAAGGAAAACATCTGTGAATGGCAACTTTTTAAGTCATATTTCAGATTTTCAATTCAGTCCCAAGATCTGATCTTTGACTGGGCCATTCTAATAAATGAATCAGATTTAATTAAAGCTCTGGCTGCATGACTGGAGTCCTGCTCTGCTGTAGTGACAGAAAGACATTGACGTTTCTTTCAGAGAAGAAGAAGAAATAATTATCTGTAGTATTTTATGGCAAATTTGTGACTTCATACCTAATTAGTCTTTACATAAAATTTGTAAGTGAAATTTGTAAATTTGTTCTTGAAAGGCTAAGAAGATTTCATCTGTCTTAGCCTTCATCTACCGAAGGCTCGATCCGAACTATTTTAGATTGGTATTTGTGAAGAAGATTTAAAAGACGACACATCATAATCAATTCGGTACATAATTATGCGCTACATTTTGTTGGTTTCCAACAAACAAATCCCAATGAAAGACATTGACATTTGTAGTTGTCAGACCGAATCCCAACTCTTTCTTAGCAGAAGTTCCTCTTTCCCTCGTGTCTTGAGACGATGACAGAAACTGGAACAGGACGAAGTAAAGTATTCATAAATGTAGCTCAGACTACAGGATGTCAAAGGGTTTCAAACATTGTAATCCCCTACCTGACACTGAAGCTGTGCTCCAGGACACCAGCGGGAACGTTTACTGTTCGCCATGCTCCGTACCGTTTCGGAGCCTGTCTCTGAATGGTTTTCCTTGCCACAGTAGAATGGGGACAGCGAATGCACAGATGGTAACAGATGGAGAGTCAGAAGTGCCCCTCCAGATATAAGAACTTGGCAACAGGGAAGTTTTTGTTGGGGGATGCGAGCATCGAGGCAGGTTAACCTCGAAACCTTTCTGAGAGCGTCTCATGGTGTCCACACCGCCACCCTCCTCCCCTCCCATCTGGCAGGACGCACCGCACACCATCCTATTTTAATTCATCAACATGAAAGCTGCGACGGTCACAATTATTTCTCGTGTCTCAGCACACGGGATTTCATATTTCATGAAAGAAAAAAAAAAAAGAAAGACAGAAAAGCA